GATAGGAATTCTTTTGAACGTTGAGCACCTTCAGGTCCACAAAAACATATAACAAAGGAGTGTGACGGGTTTCATAACCATTCCACTCAATTAACTATGTCTAAACCCATTGCTTTTTTGTTGTTCTCGTCGCTGTCCCCATCGTCGTTGCTTAAGCTTCCTATTATCATTAGACAAAAAAGCAATGTTCTTAGCAGGGGGTGGTTAGAGGTGCAGTTCAAGGCAATTACCACCCATTAAACAAATTCGAATTCACCAAATATACTTTGAAATTGAATGAGATAATTATGGTGGCCTAAACGTAATGCAACTTCTCTTTAAAAGAGTAATTAATCGATTAAAGGACAGACATGTCTTTTGTTTTGCTTTGTCTTTTCCTTCGAAAAGTCTTCAGTAGAAGCGCGTTTCATTAACAAATGATAAGAGATTACTATCGTTAATTTTGCACAGTACGGTTGTGTACTTTCGCTTTAGTGCAGCATAACTCGCACATTCGGCGTGGAAAGGCTTGCCCCATGAAAGATATTCTGTATTCGGAAAGGCCAGGGCTTCGAAAACGAGAATTCAGTTCAAGGGATCCGGAATTCCGCTAACGATTGAAATTCGGAATCCACGTTCTACTGAAAAAGAATCCGGAATCTACAACCTGGAATTCGTTATCCACAGCGTGGAATCTTGAATTTAAGACTATCTTGGATTACCTCTTTTACACTGCTACATGAGAAATTTCTGTAATTTGATTGGCTTAGAGCAGTGAAATACCGACATGTGAAAATTACAAACATTTTGTTGGTAGTAGGCTAAGTATTTGGCATAAATACCACGAGTGATATTTCAAAATTGTCTGAAATTTCACTCGCCTAAGGGACCAGTCATAATTTAAGTTGGAGGGGGGGGGTGGGGGTGGAGGAGAAATTGATTTTTATCCCAAATTATTTCCAGACCCCTACTAACAGCTCCCGTGTTTTTTAGGTACCCCCCTTCAATCATATTAAAAGATTTAAGGGCCCCCCTTTCTTAAATAATACCCAAATGGTAATAACAAATAACATTTTCTTTACTTTACCGTTCTTACTCACTGTCACTTCAGAATGTGCTAACTAACAACAGAGAAGCACTTCACACTAAACTGAGAAAGAGATTTCACCTAGAGCCTCTCAAACAGCTTATAGAGCAAGGATACATCAGTGATTGTGTTATAATTGAAATAAGACAAGCCATCGAAAGGTTAGAGGCCGACAGGACCGCCTCAAGGAAGAAAGAAGATAATCAGCCAAAGCTTACTGCTTTTTATATGAGCAGTGCATGCTCTAATAGCAAAAAACTTAACAGTGACACAGAAAGTGAGTCCTCATCAACCTCATCTACAAATAATGATTCGGATAGTGAGAATGCAAAACATGACTTTATGCATGTAATCATTTGTTAAAATGCCGATGAAATTGTTTCAGTGTTACACAATAATGGATGTTGTGTTGATACACCTACTATTTGAGCATTAAATGTTTTTGTCAAAATGCTGATTAAATTGTTTTAGTATTACACAATATAGGACTTTGTGTAAAACTGAATCTAAATCAGGGTCCTTTAATACTCAAGCATCATGCTGCTCAGTAGGGATGCTACTTAAAAAAAACTTGAAGACCCCCACCCCCACGACCTCGCGCAATCACTCCCAAAACCAACAATCGAATGCACACACGCGTGACAGAGAAGCTCCACACTTGCAGCAAGACATCGAACACACTCACAACAATGTAGGATGTAGTGACTTCAAAAGCACGTCGGCCCCCTCACCCCCCCCCAAGTCACGCATTGACCTTTATTGGCTCCCCGACGTCCCCCCAAACAACACTCCCCGCCCCCGGGCCCCCCCCAATTCCCCCACCCCCCCCCCCCCCCTCCTCCAACTTAAATTATGACTGGTCCCTAAAAGCTCGTGAAATTACGTACAACAATTTTCACTCGTGGTATTTATGCCAAATATCACTGGAAATCATGCTACTACCTATACTGCGAAAAGGGCGAAAAGGTGGGTAATATAAATCGAATTGAGTGAGATGCCAAAGGGGAATACCGGTTTTGATCCCGTTTGGCCCATTGAAATAGAATGAGGCTTTATGCTCTGTTTTGTGTCATACATATCCTAAACCTGCATAGGAAAAGACACATGTTTTAATGACTGGCATCTTACATAGAAATAAGCATTATTTGGAAATATTTTGAGCGGATAATTAATAAACAGTTGTTGAATTTCATTTTCCATTTTGGACTGATGCTTTCTCCGCCCGATAAGACTGGTTAGGAACCGTCTTCTGACTGCACCGGCAAATTCTCAAGGTTTTATTTTTGCCCGGCCTCAAAATCTTTCTGCAGCAGCCTCAAGATTTACTGAGTGAAAGGCTCATTGATGGGTTTTTTCACATAGCATAGTTCAGACATTATAAACTAAGGGGGCCGTATGAAAAATTTATTTATGTTGAACATCGAGAAAGAACTATGGAAAAGATCATTTTCACGTAAAAAAAATAAATGAATACAATTCTTAAATTCAACGCAGTTTAGCTGAACATAAATCAATAAAACGGCTCACATATCCCTCCAAACAATTCAGCCTTTTTCTCTTCTCTGAGTATTATTCATTGCAAGGAATCACTGCGAACTAATTCCGGACCGGTCGCAGAGGTCGTGGCTCCAGCACTGATTTGGCTTGCACGATTTTTGATAGAAGCAGTCTGGTCATGTGTAAAAATTATAGCCGTAGAGAGTGTGTGAAAATTTGTTGAGATCTTACAAAACAGGAATGTTACTTCCTACTAACTTCTACAGGACAAGAATCAAAGAACCAGTCATCATGACAAGGATTGAAAGTAGTTCAAATTTATTGATTTTTCTTGTTTGTTTTTTTTTGCGTTGTTTCGTGTTGACTTCAAGCATCTGGTGCTTTCTTTGCTTGCTGTCGTACCTGCAATGTTTTCATTTTATCCCAGATAATCAGTGCATGTTCAATGAGTAGCGAAATACATCAGGTACAGTTGAAATTTGTCTTCTTTCTTTGACTTTTTTTAACTGTGGATGAACATTTGGAAAATCCAACAATAATAAATCTTTCAAGATTTGGTGAAATTCAGAAACAAAGCCCTGGTTAGTATCTACCTTGCGCATATGATCTTAAATTTTATCCCCGCAAATTGGCAAAGTGAGGCGAGATGTTGGACGTGAATATCCTTAAGACTAGTAAAGTTGTTTTGGCCTTGAAAAGAAAAAAAAGGCAAAGGATTGTATTAATGCGAAAAAAGTAATAACAAGGTTCTGCGATGTCTGCGTGAAACCCGGGAGAAGAACACGTTCGTGTGTTGGACCTCGGAATTCAAAAATTGTCTACCAAAATTCCAGGTTGTCTACCATCCCTACATTCAACATGATAAAAGTTAATGATAATGTTAACGATATGACAATCGAGGAAAAATATCAAGAACTTCGTAAAAAAGCTGTGAATCGAAAAAATAATAGATACTTGTTCACCTACATGTACCTTGAAAACCGACCAAAATCTCGCCTACATCGTGTTGTTTAAAAGAAGAAATAAGACACAAAGTGTGCTGAATATTTCACGAGACACTTCCAATATGGCTTTCGATACGCTGTCCACTTAAAAAAATTGTGTATGCCTCATGAAAAGTCTTAGACGCATGCCTGAGAGCCCCGAAAGGGTGACTGTGGTCGTTTTGATAATCTATCCGCCATTTTCCGCAAGAACAATTATAGCTTCATGACGTCACAACTGTCGTTACGTTTAGGGATATTCCGGACTGTTGAGTAAATCTTTCAACTTCTCATTATTAACATTGTTCATCCTCGGCTGGTTTTCCGGTTTCGTGAGAATCGTAGTAAAAGTTGTAGAACAATATCCATAAGTAAGCATCAGACAAGAGTTTGTCTTAGAAGATTGGATGACAGGAAAAGAATAAAGTTAACAACGAAAATCGCTAAGATAATGCCGAGTAGTTATTAATAAGTTATTTTTGTCCACCCAAAGACTTAGACACTAGACCTTCCCCGAAAAGCTAAAATGGATGATCTACCACTATGTCTCTATTCTAGCAATCTACTCAGATTTATTATGATGACTACATTTTCGGCAAAATTTGTTAGTTTAAAAATCGCGAAAAATTAAACAGTGGCGAATGGTTTATAAGTACAATTAAACTTTTTGAAGTCTCAAAATTAAAATTGCTCCGCCGACCCGTGTATTAGATTCTGCTACGGAAACTTTAAAAATCTTTCTTATCCTTTCATGTATAGCCTGGTCTTTCACTTGGGCAAGCATGCTTATCGATTTAATTGTTTCTTATATAACTTTTGTACTTTAGATTCTTTTGATAATCTTTCTTCTACTGACTGTGATGACGTCAAACCCAGCAGTCACGTTTTGGCATCCCCAGGGAACGATTTATATTCCGTTAAAAAACGGTATAAATAGACTTTTCAGCAAACCAGTTAGAGTTATTTCCAAAAAATTATTTCTCCTTATTTTGTTTTGTTTTGCTTTGTTTTTTTTTTTTTAACAACTTGTTATGAAAAATACGTTATTTGTAATCTCAGCCGTAGGCAAAATACCAACATAGGCGTACAAACGTTTTGTTCTAAAACAGTCAAGTTCTCTCACCAATGGAAGAGAAATTTAGTTTTTCTCCCAAAATAGAAAGGAAGAGAATCGCGTGTCTGTTGACTCCATTTCACCTCCGAAAGTACACTTAACTACGACTTTTTAATTGAATTTCGATTAGCTTGTTCAACAAAAGATCATAATTAACCTTCACCTCTGTTATGGTTTATGACGTTTTTTTTCCTGTGGTTAGAAAATATGCCGGACAAATAAACATGCAGAGTTTAGCATACTTCAATTATGTATGAACTCAAGCGCTCAACGATTGCAAAATTAGGTCACAGATTTCACTTGTAGAACTTAAGTATCATAGTGGCACTGAACAGATAAGACCTAATAAGGCCGGCAGCCATGCTGGCGAACAAGTTTCTATTCTTATGGAGTTTTACCTCAGGTAAAAGTGAAGTACTTTTTTTACCCACTGCTTAAAATCCGGGTCTATATTTCGTAATGACTCGTGTTTGATCGTTGCGGTAAACGCGTTTCTTTTCTTTTCCCTTCTGTTTAGCTGTTGTGGGTTCATTTGGAACCGGTAAGTGTTATTCTTATTTGCTTTTCAGTCAGCCTCGTGTCTTAGCTTATTTCAGGCCCTCGAACAACTCCGTCATCGCGCTGAAATATGAAAACAGCACTACCAAACCAGAGGGAGCACACCTGTGTTTATAAGAAGAATGCAATCTGCGGAAAATTAATTGAGAGTTAAAATTTTTTAATTGCTGAAGTGTAAGGTATGATGTAAAGCACGCACAGGTCGTGCGTTTCGTATCGTTTGTGACAAGTAGAAGGTTATAAATTCTGAGGGAATTCGGAGTGGCTTAGATATATTTGTCTTCATATTCTGTCCTTAACAGCTGCCAAGCGGAGAGCAGCATTAAGCTGCTTTCCCCCTTTTTGAGATATTATTGCCGGATAACGGCTTTTGATTAAAAACCTCACTCTGCAGTTAAGTTCAGTTAGCAGAAAAATGCAGTTCTCACACTTTAAAGTTTGGTTTTCGTGAGTTTATCTGCCGAATTACAGCTTTCGACTGAAAACAATTAATCATTAGTTCTCTTGACTTCTCAAAACCGACACGGTCGACCAAGGTTCCGTATGACAGGAGGGAAGGTTAGAAGGGAGGGTTAAATTTTCTTTGCTTGAAAGTTGAAATTAAGCAGCTGGGTTGTGTTTTCAGTGCACGGACTTTAAAAAAGATTATGATACTCAAAAGCAATTATCCATGGCGTTTAATTTACGCGACATGTAAAGAAGAATTTAATTGTTGGCTTCATTGATATAAACATTCATATTGGACCCAGAATGTCCAATTTTTTGGCTACTAATACTTTAAACGACTGATCAAGATGTTAATCGTAACGAATTAACGAAATCGAAGAACTAAGCAAGCCTATATTGTTGCTAAAGAGTCAATAAAAAGAAATACAGAAAACAGAAAACATATTAGTACACCGACCTTTAGAATATTGGCCTTTCTGAGGGTGTTCCTTTTTCAAAAAAATCAAATCAAATTAATCACAAACAAAAAGACACTACTCGAGAAATTAAAACCCAGTGCCAGGTTACAAATGATTTTTCTTTTTGAAAAGCACATTTGTTCGACTTTTTCACCGTTTTAGCTGGAAAGACAATAAGTTGTGTTGAGTTTTAATTTCTATTAGTACTTAATGTAAATCTGTACGTATACATTAATTCAAAGTGATAGTCTCTGATGGGTTTTTACAAATCTGTCCAGTCCGCATCATATATAATATATCCGAACGCAGTTACAATTTCATTTGAAAATTTAGTCGGACGATGATTTGTCCGATGACTGACAGTGATTTGTAGTTCTAATTAGTGGAATAGAAGCCCATAGTGGGCGAAAAATTGGGAAATAATTACCTACCAAGTTATCATCTTGCCAAACTTTGAGTCTCGAAGACAGAGCAGGACTTATTTTCTGGAATGTTGCGTATCTAAATTTACTCTCAACTGGTTTCGAAATTTGGTGATACGCAAATAAAAGTAAGGATTGCAAGATAAAGACAATGGATTTTTTTTTTATATTAGTGATCACTACCATTTCCTGACATTTTTCGGGTTTGCATACCGTTCAATAGTGTTAGTCTGCTGTTCACATGAGGTGATGCACCTTCCTCGGCTGGCAGCTAATTCTATAAGTCAGAGTGTGAATGTCATTTCTTATAGTTGGTGTCTACTGCTTTTCAATGAAAAAAAAAACAACAGTGAAAACAGAAAAAAAATTTATCACAGAAGTGTTATGTGTGCGGATAATAGCATAATCCTCTGGATCAAGCTTTAGACCACGCTTTGTTCTTTAAAACAACCCTAAAATAACTTATCATGCAATATAACACATGAAAAAAAATGAGCTAAGTCGAAATGGTTAATTTGCTTTATTTCACTAAACGCTTGTGGAACAGCTTGAACTTTTTTATTTAGATTATGATCGTTTTAACTTTTATTAATGCGTTTATTTTCTGTATTGATATATGGTGTCACCACTTGGTGTGTAACAACTAGTCGATTTGTCAACGGTTCTATTTATCTAACTTCCGTTAAGTTAGAACACATTATGGCCGACATAGAAAATTTTCTAAGAGGTGATTGTTTCCAAAAGCGGTTATTTAGAGGACAGAAAAATTTTTACTTATCAAAAGGTACGTTTAGAAGCGTTTCGTCTTACGCATCTTTTACAGTGGGTTGTCTGTTTTGCCTTTTAAGATATCTTAATATGTACTTTATCTCAATCGGTAGATAAAATTGAATTTTGTGAGTTTTTGTTTGAGTTCTTTGTGACACACACTAGCGGCTTGCTATAGGAACGTGCAGTCCGTAAAGAGCTCTTAGTTCTTTACGAAAGAGACAGGAAACTAGAAAGAGTTGTTTTCAGACTTTCTTGCCGGGGACTGACGTCACTCAAACGGCTACCATCAGTTTGCTTGGGTGATCTTTATTCCGGGTTTTTTCCAGAATTAATGTTGATAGCTTTTTTTATACTGAGTTTGTAGTCTTTCTGACAGTATTAATAAATTGTACTTTAATGAGGCGACTTTTATAAGGCGTGTTAGATGGGGCAAGGGAAATGAAGTTTAACAAACTTAAAAAAATCGAGCGATAATCGAGTTAGTCAAAAAAATATATAATACTTGATCAAATCCAAATTTTGTTTCAGATTAAAGTGCCCATATGTTAAAAAGGAGACTATGGTTTTTTCTTTTTTCTCGGGAATGCGTTCAGTTCTCACCAGACGCCAAAATGTTTACACAAACTACAGTGACTGTCATATGTCAGTTTCCTTTGTCTTTTCATCCTTTGCCGCAGACCATGGTTAACACTTGACGTTAACAGATCGACGCCGTTGGATTTACCGCCGAGTTCTCTCTCTCTTTCGCTCTCGACGCTCTAGAGTTAGCGAGGCTAACGCTAGACTGAAATGTCAGCTCTAAAGTATCCCTCTCTAGCTGTTTGTTTTAGGAAAGAGTGTGTCTTAAATAATATGTCTGAGATAAGTGTCTCTAAAGACATTTAACAGCTTTTTCATAGTTTTTCACTGGCTTGAAGACCAGGGTTGCGATCGTTGTCATTGGTGTTGCTTTCTTTCCTATTGCATGCAGCTTTGAGAATTTTTAATGAAGTTGTTATTAAACTTTTAAGACTATTACTTGTACTTCGTGACAAAGTTTTTGGAAATGTCAGGTCAGCTAATGTCCTATTGAAGCTGCTTAACGTTTTGGTCGTTCCTTTGATTCAAGTTTTGTAAAGTTAGCTAAACAATACGAAATCAAATGCACAGCCTAATATGCGAATAGTGAAGTAAAAAGTTGAGAGTTCTTTTCCGCTCAAAATGCACTCAGTTCTCAGTTGGATCCTGTCTATAGATAGATGTTTACACATTCCAAATCAAAGGTCCTTACAACCTTGCTTTGTCTTGTTCAGTGCTGGCCCTGCTCCGGATTTTTTATTTGGCCTTGACACATCGACGCAGCTGAGGTTTTCAAAAACACACAGTTTATTTTCTGAATGCAAGTCAACTCGCAAGCTTTATGAAATGTTAATATTGCTTATAGAAAGCTTTTAAGACTGTAAAAGGGTAAAAATCCGATCAGACGAAATACTAATTGAACCTGTCAAACTGTGATAAGTTAGTTACCAGTGTTGATGATTGTTGTTCTATGGCAACTATCGTTTTATTTGTAATCGTAATAACCCAGTCTGTCGAGGAGTCACAGCGCCGTTACTAACTAACAAAGCCTTCAAGAAACACTGCCTTAAATGAGCATTCAAGGAAATCATAGCACTTCAGTGCCATTATCTTATTTTGCGAAACTGTTTGTGGTTGCCATGGGAAACAAGCAAACAAATAAATGCTTGATCCTTGCAGAACCTCCCTCGTGGCTTTTGTAACAATAACACAACCCGATTTTCATTGTACATTTTAGCTTTTATCTGACTCGTTTCTTTTACTTTCCAAATGCGCTTATAATGAATGATTTTGATTCGATTATTGACCATTTAAATATCATTAGTCAATTTCTAGACAGAAGAATGCTTTGCCATGGATTTAGACCTTTGCCAGATTCGTCCAACGAATTAGAAGAATGCTTAACATCAACATTTAAATACTGATTTTTCAAATTAAAGATTATATGATAAGCAAACAAAACGGTTTATCCACTGGAATCATTACCTTTTCCCTCCTCTTTGTAAAAGTGAGTCATTTTTGTCTAAAAAGGTTATTGTTTGTTTGAGATTGATTTCGCTGTTTGTCAGAGCGTCGTTATGTAATAATCTTGATTGTCGCCGTATTCCTGACACAAAATTGAAAACATATAACTTATTTCATATTGATTTGTTAAATATCTTAGAATTCCATAAGGTCAACGTTAACAGCAAAAAGTGACAAAATCCAATGGTATAAATCAAAGATGAAAAAGTCCATTTTGTACAGTTTAATAACAAACCCTCTCTATTTGTAGGTGAAAATGCTTAATTTGTTCTCGTTCGGAAACGAGCTTGCATAAAATTATTTGAATGCTGAAGTCAATTTCCCAACAAGTTCTTTTTCACATACATAGAAATCATTTAAAATTTAGACTGTCAGTCAAGTACAAATCCCCTTTTGCTACGGTGCACAACCAAATTTCACGAGATACTTGTGACGAAGCAGGCGAATTCGAATAATGAAAATGTGAAAATAGTCAATGAAGCATCATTGCATTGTAAACATATCGAGTAATTTGAATTACCGTCGACTAATTCGTAGACAGGCTAATAACAAGCTAATAACTTAATTTAACTTCTCGTTATTCATAAAATTGATAAAGATTGTAAAAATTCAATCAATACGGACACTAAGAGATGAATCGAAACCCATATGGTATCTACTTATTTTTTTTTCAAGTAATTAACTTGAATTCGAATGATGAAAATGTGAAAATAGTCAATGAAGCATCATTGCATTGTAAACATATCGAGTAATTTGAATTACCGTCGACTAATTCGTAGACAGGCTAATAACAAGCTAATAACTTAATTTAACTTCTCGTTATTCATAAAATTGATAAAGATTGTAAAAATTCAATCAATACGGACACTAAGAGATGAATCGAAACCCATATGGTATCTACTTATTTTTTTTCAAGTAATTAACTCATTCTTGACATGGGGTGTCCATTTGAACAATAACGTCTGTAGCCACTTTGGATAACTTAGCCTGTCCACAGGCCAACGAGTTATCAGCACGTATTGACACTTTTATATTTCAAGAAAATCATCTGAATGGATGAGCAGCAAGGTTAGCACAACAGGGTTTTTCAAAAATCCAGCTAAAAGTACATAATCTTGCTTAATTTATGCTTAAAGTCCTATAATAGAAGTGTTTCAATTTTATCAACAGAACCCGTGGTCTGGTACATTTCTCCGACCCGTGGGAGCCTCTCTGGGGGCACAAAGGTGTATGTTTTTGGAAGAGGTAAGTGAAAAATATTTTATTCCTCGTTCCTTGATCTCTTACAGTGCGACTTAGCTAGCAGTAAGGGAAGTGTAGTTACGATGATTTGCAAGAAGACACAAGTTCAACAATGGAAAATTACGAGTTGAACTACATCTTTTCTGATGGGTCAGTTAGTTTTCTTACACGGACAGACGGTTCCTAAGAGTTTGCAGGGTATACGTGAGTTTATAGCTTAGCTGAGTGAGTTTTAAGCTTAGTTATAGCTTCCTAAAAAAGTACAAATTCGCGGCTTAAAAAAGCAAGGTTACTGACAATAAATGTTTATTGAAGTTTGTTTTCTTTTTCCCCTTAGATTTTGCAAATGATCAGTTTAGCTTTCAAAACCCTACGTTAGGAAACAAAATAACATTTTGTTCGAGTAAACATTGTGTAGATTGTGATATCATACAAACTGACGTATCAAAGGTGAAAGTAGGATGCGAAATAAGGTAAGTAAATTGAAAACTGCTTCGAGGTAGTTTCCTTGGGAAAATTCAAAACGGATTCTTTGATTTAACAACAGATTTTGCCTTTTTCTGCTAAAATCCAAAAAGTCGATTTTGAGTCTAAATAATTCACATTCCGAATGAATTCTTGAGATCAAATCTAAATTCGGATATTAAGAAGATCTGTACGTTTTTTGGGGCGCGGATCGAAAATAAGGAACACCTGCATGGTAAGCGATTTCTTGTAAAAATATTTGGCCCACCACGATCTCACAAGTTAGCTCCAAGATGGCTGGCACGCTCAAGAATTCATGGTCTGGATTTGTGGTTTCTTTCGTTGCAACGAAATCCAAAGAATGTGACATCAATAATCCGTCATCTTGGATTCTCAAAAAGAGACTCATTCTTATTTTGGAGCTGCTTTTCAGATGCAAAGGTTGAGGACATTCCTGTATTTGTGTGACCGTAGACTATAACCCTTATAAGCTCCCCACCTCCTCCCCCCTTAAATGTTGGCCAATTTATATGTAAGCAAAAAAAATACCTCCCATTTAAGCCTCCTCCAAAGAATTTGATTTATTATGAAATTTTGACGCTTAATTAAAAAACATTAAAAGCAAAACGTGTTTTGATCAACACTGCTAATTAGCTTGTTCCGAGGCGCTTTTTCTATTCCGTTTATAAATATAAGCTCCCTTGAATATAAACCCCTCTATAAGTCCTCCTAACACCTCTTACGATGGGCTTATTAGACTTTCTAAATGTCCCTCATTTTTTCCCCTGGTTGGTTCTGCCTTTTTAAAGACCTGGGCTGATTTGCTCAAAGCATGGTTAGCTTTAACCATTGGTTAAGCAGTATCAAAACCAAGACGTTGTCAAGGTATTAAACGCTGGTTAACCTCTTTGAAGCTCGCTTCGCTCGCTTTTTCTCGCTCATATTAAATTCGCTTGATAAGAATTTAAGAGAACTTATGAGAGGTCAATTTTTAGCAAGTCTACGGGCTTATAAGCGGCAATTTACGGTATCATCTACCAAATTACTTACAGGCCTCCTCCAGATGCCGATGAAGGCGAGTATAACCTGGTGATGTCTGTAAACGGAAAAGAAGTTACAAATAAATGCCCAGGCAGACCAAAAAATTGTATCTTTATGGTAAGATGGTATTTGAAAAAAAGAGCAAATATTAAAAGTAGATTTATCGTCTTACTAACAATTATTCCTCTAGCCCCGGGATGGGCTCTAAGTCAATAGCCCATGAGGGCGAGAGGAATAATTGTTTTAGTAAAATCCAACTAGTTGGTCAAAAATATCGAGAATAAAAACATTTTAGCTAGTTAAAGCTAGACTTTAATCCTTTTTTGCCGCCAAAAATCCCACGCCTTTCGCTACTAGTGGGCTATAACATATAGCGTAGTAGTAGCTTAACCAATCAGAACGCAGCATTGATAATAGACCACTAGTTGGATTTTACGAACTGCTGTTAGCCTCTGCTTCGAGAGGCTCTGCGATTCTCGTATTTCTAGTTATCTTCTTACTGCTTTTCTCTCTCTCATAGGAGGAAACAGCTCTTATGATGAAAAGCAGTTACCCCTTTATTTAACGTCTCTTGTCATAAAAAACGCCCCTGGGTCTTCTTTCTCGAAAGTCCTGACAATTAGCTGGCCTGGATAGCTGTTGTTTAGGATGGAGGTTAAAGCAGTGTTACAGATAATATAACATAATCATCAGGTTTTTTTAATGACTGTTTCGTTAGCTAGAACCGCTTTTATTCTTTAGGTTTTGATTTAAAAATTTGACTTTCGCGCCCGAAAAGTTTGGGGTGAAATTGTGAAGTTTAAAAAACAGGCACCTGGCCTAATTGATCCATTAAGAAAATCATTATACGGTCACTGTGATAAGTTCTTCTTCTATCTTAAAGCCAAGTGTAAGTGTTTAATAAGGAGGTCACATAATGATATCAAAATTCAGCGAGAAGCACCTACCACCAAACTTTGAGCATGAACACACATCAAGCAGCGCATCACAGTGAAAGCCATAGACAGTTATTTTGTTTAGTTGTCAGGACCTATCAGCATTGCAGCCTTAGACATACCTTTGATACAGTAGTTTATCTAAAACTGAATGTTAGATCAAATGATCAAATGATTGTTTGTAAAATACTTACTAAGAAATTTTTGTTTTGAGTAGACTACACTCTGTTAATAGATGAGTGTTTACTATTTTCCATCTTCATTTTTTAGTTTTACAGATGGAGCACTCCAACAATGGAGGATTTTTATCCACGAGCAGGTGTACCAGGTAGTAATCACAGGCAAATCCGCTAACTACACCGTACAACCACATCTCCCGTGCTNATTATACGGTCACTGTGATAAGTTCTTCTTCTATCTTAAAGCCAAGTGTAAGTGTTTAATAAGGAGGTCACATAATGATATCAAAATTCAGCGAGAAGCACCTACCACCAAACTTTGAGCATGAACACACATCAAGCAGCGCATCACAGTGAAAGCCATAGACAGTTATTTTGTTTAGTTGTCAGGACCTATCAGCATTGCAGCCTTAGACATACCTTTGATACAGTAGTTTATCTAAAACTGAATGTTAGATCAAATGATCAAATGATTGTTTGTAAAATACTTACTAAGAAATTTTTGTTTTGAGTAGACTACACTCTGTTAATAGATGAGTGTTTACTATTTTCCATCTTCATTTTTTAGTTTTACAGATGGAGCACTCCAACAATGGAGGATTTTTATCCACGAGCAGGTGTACCAGGTAGTAATCACAGGCAAATCCGCTAACTACACCGTACAACCACATCTCCCGTGCTACTTGTAATGAAAAATTGGAAACACATTCAGAGATAACCGCGACAGGATTAATTTAAACGGAAGAGTTCTAGTAAGATTCGAGGGGGCCGGACCAGTCATCCGGCAGGATCTTAAATAACTCTGAAATAAAAGTACTGCCCAACATTTGCCCTGCCTAAGTATAAAACTTTTCGTGGCTTGGATGACTACATAGGAGGTACGACCTCGTCCCCAGTTTAGGAGATGCAATAAAACGTCGTCAACATTGATACCTACGTGCTAGATATTTGCACCCATAATACCAGGCACAGATGTTCTTACGCCGATTATCGCTAGCTCCAGTCTTCTGTTTCTTTTTCAAAAGCATTTTCATTGTTGATTTTAACTAGTATATAAGTAAGAATTAGTAACAAAATATATCACGTGATTTCCTCACCGAATGGACATGTATTAATTAGTCTTCAGTAAAGAATCACAACATTCAAAAGGTAACCAGGAATTCGTTCTCTTAACGTTCAGATCGGTATTCAAATTTCGTTATAACTTGAAAAGCATGCGGCGGCTGAACTGCATGTAGTCATTAGGTAGACAAGAGTAAAACTGTTAACGCCTGCTGGAACCCTAGACGTCTTGTGCTTATTACGACGAAGTAATCTCCTAATGTAGAGCATATATTGTGCTCAAAATCCGAGAATTTTTTTTTTAACATTGCCTCTCTCGACAGGAACACCAGTTGAAATCTTTGGGAAAATTCATACAACTCAATTCAGTAGGCTCTCACCTGGTTTTTCTCCAGCTAGTAACGAGATCACAAGGTAAGAGAGATCTTAACTTTTAAGAGAGATCTTTATTTTTCTTGTTTCTTTTTTTGACATTAACGAAACCTATCTTGAAAACGTCAATGATTATTTTAACTGGTGATTTGATTTGTTCTATTGAGGCCCAAGCATTTATAGTTAAAGTTGAATGAATCGTTTCATCTGTAATCTCTTGCAGGGTTTATGTTGGCCTCGAGTGTAATCCCTTTGATGAAGAAACCAACGAGCTGTGAGTATTGTCGTAATGGTTTACTCTATAGGCCGCTCCCCTCCCAGCTGTCCGCATTAGCCTCAAACTTCCAAAGAAAAAAGTCAGATAGTAAAATTTTTGAAAAAGGGACAACTCAGTGGCATACATAGCAAATGAACCTTATCGAGCTTATATGAAAGGACATTGTCAGAGGATACAGGTCAGGAGATGTCTTTTATTGAGTGCTTTCTTAGGACTTGATAAAGATGGCGTAAATCATTTTATATACATGCGACATTTAGCGCCGGTTTACATGCATCGGTTTCCGTGAAGGAACAGTGATGCGTAAAAATTCCATCTTCATTTTTTAGTTTTACAGATGGAGCACTCCAACAATGGAGGATTTTTATCCACGAGCAGGTGTACCAGGTAGTAATCACAGGCAAATCCGCTAACTACACCGTACAACCACATCTCCCGTGCTTCTTGTAATGAAAAATTGGAAACATGTTCAGAGATAACCGCGACAGGATTAGTTTAAACGGAAGAGTTGAAGTACGATTCGAAGGGCTGGACCAGTCATCCGGCAGGGTCTTAAATAACTCTGAAATGAAAGTACTGCCCAATATTCGCCCAGCGTAAGGTTAAAACTTTTCGTGGCTTGGATGACTACATAGGAGGTACAACTTCGTCCCCAGTTTAGGAGATGCAAAAAAACCTCGTCAACATTGATACCTACGTGCGAGAGATTTGCACACATAATACCAGGCGCAGATGTTCTTAGACGCCGATCATCGCTAGCTCCAGTCTTCTGTTTCTTTTTCAAAAGTATTTTCATTGTTGATTTTAACTAGTATGTAAGAATTAGTAACAAAATATATCACGTGTATTTCCTCACCGAATGTAGTAATTAGTCTTCAGTAAGCAACACAACATTCACAAGTTAACCAAAATAATTTTTCAGGAATTTGTTCTCTTAACGTTCAGATCGGAATTCAGATTTCGTTATAACTTGAAAAGCATGCGGCGGCTGAACTGCATGAAGTCATTAGGTAGACAAGACTGAGTAAAACCGTTAATGCCTGCTTGAACCCTATAAAAGTCTTAATGTGCTTATTACAACGAAGTAATCGCCTAATGTAGAGCATATATTGTGCTCAAAATCCGACAATTTTTTTTTAACATTGCCTCTCTGGACAGGAACACCAGTTGAAATCTTTGGGAAAATTCATACAACTCAATTCAGTAGGCTCTCACCTGGTTTTTCGCCAGCTAGTAACGAGATCACAAGGTAAGAGAGATCTTAACTTTTAAGAGAGATCTTTATTTTTCTTGTTTCTTTTTTTAACATTAACGAAACCTATCTTGAAAACGTCAATGATTATTTTAACTGGTGATTTGATTTGTTCTATTGTGGCCCAAGCATTTATAGTTAAAGTTGAATGAATCGTTTCATCTGTAATCTCTTGCAGGGTTTATGTTGGCCTCGAGTGTAATCCCTTTAATGAAGAAACCAACGAGCTGTGAGTATTGTCGTAATGGTTTACTCTATAGGCCGCTCCCCTCCCAGCTGTCCGCATTAGCCTCAAACTTCCAAAGAAAAAAGTCAGATAGTAAAAGTTTTGAAAAAGGGACAACGCAGTGGCATACATAGCAAATGAACCTTATCGAGCTTATATGAAAGGACATTGTCAGAGGATACAGGTCAGGAGATGTCTTTTATTGAGTGTTTTCTTAGGACTTGATAAAGATGGCGTAAATCATTTTATATACATGCGACATTTAGCGCCGGTTTACATGCATCGGTTTCCGTGAAGGAACAGTGATGCGTAAAAATGACCCTAGTGTGAGCAAATTACAGCTTTCATAAGTAGCTTGAGCATGATCGTCTGGGTGAACGTAGTCCTAAATAGGACTGTTGTTGACAGTGACTGACGTTTCGACAACCTTTGCGGTAGTCAACTTCGCAGTCAAAGTGAGTTGTATCCCTTCAGTTGTTGGTATTAGACTCTGATTATTAACCTGGTTGGTCACTTAAGTCGCGATGTCAAAGGTCGTCTGTCTGGCCGTGATGTCATTTGCTATGAAGACTCGTAATGTCATTGGTGCGTTTCGATCCATCTATTGTCCCGGTAGTCAAACTGTCGGTTCTTTAGTCACTCTCTTTTGTATTACAGATTTGGAGCTAATTTGCCTGATGACTGCAGCTGGGTACCAATTTGCCAGGGATCATTCAAATGTCTCCCGAAATCACGTACGGCTGGTAAGGAAATCCTCTTTCTTTCTAACTACAATTGGTCAAGATCTACACGATACTGTACAGCACATGTTAGATATAACATCATTACCTTTGCTTAGAATTTCTCCTAAGCACTGATTTGCAACTCCACGACAATTTGAGGATAAGAACAGAATGATATTGTTAATACTTACAGATATAGTTTAGACTTTAAAAAGTAATTGGCATCCTTCTTGTGGCATTTTTGTGTAATCTTGTTATATTTTTCAGTTAGTAATTCGGCTATTTCTTCCTCCGGGGTCAATCATTTAATAAAACTATTACCAGTGCCTAATTTACGAATGTAGATGGGCACACTTCTAAATTCCATTTTTAAAAATGTTATTAAATTGGTCCCCAGATAAGCAACATTTAACGTATCGAGCCAGTGATTTAGCGTCGGTTACGCTCTTTAGTCTGTTCATCAGTGGCACGGTTTCATTTCATTTCTTTCTATTTTTCTTTCCTTCTCATTAATAGCTTCCCATACAGCTTCCTATTTAGTCTCTGGACTTGGAAGATCTCAAGTTGACAAGAACTTGTGGCGGGTTGATAGGGATCAGCAGCTCTATATTTACCAAACCCACTCAGGTGCCTATACTTTGCTTAACAGACCTTTCCACGGTTTTTTCAACTTTAGACATGGACAAGTGATTGAAAATCCGTCGACACGACTGGAAAGAGCCCCTTAAAATTGGTCAACCTGCCAAGTTTGGGTGGGCGAAAAAAAAATTCGACCACCGCTTGGCTCGCTTGGCTCGCCGATATTTTCCTATTTGACCCCATTTTTTACCTTTTCCCCCCACTGCGGAGCCTACTAGTCCCTCGCTAAGTTTCTAAATGAAACCTCTTAAGCGAGCGAAAGAAGAGCTCCGCAAAGTTGCTAAAATTTACAGACGTTTGTATGGTGGAAGGGGGGGTCAAATTATTGTGGCACCAGATGATGTTTTTCTGTTGTTAATAAACCCTCCGAGAAAGAACAAACCAGTGCAAAAGTTAATTGCAAAATACGTATTCGACTGCTATGAGAAAAGAAGATCATTAGTTCTTTAGGTTAACATTGATTATAGTTCCACTAGCGTGTAATTTGTGGTATGATTCTAAATTATTTGGATGAAGTCGATGTACATAGGACTGCAAATAAAGACTCCAAATAAATAAAGCATTGTCATACAACCGCCCCGTCTGTAAAATTTCGTGACTTTGACGAACTATATCTTCGCTAGTTTTCAACAAATCACTTCAAAACTTGGCAATATAACATATTTAAAAAGGTTTTTTTTTTTCAGGGGAGTCGATGGATTTTCCCTAACTTTCCAAGTCAAAGGTTTAAAAAAAACGTGGAAAGGACTATTCAGTGATCTTACAGTTGCAATGAAAGGGTACTTGACAGTCGTTATTCATAACTCCCAAAAAGCCTCTCTTTTTTTTTCAACTCGGCGACTTTAATTTTACGTTCTGTTTTAAGATTTAAGTCCTACGTTTTCCCTGCCTTGGTGGAAATTTATATTATTGTGCTGCATCGAAGATGTTCACGCGAAGTAATTACACAGTAAACAGGCATCCGATCGTTTCGCTTACAAGTCATCTCGCTATGGCCTGAGTCGCCGTTTCGCTTTACTGCGCTTTTCACAAAGATGCGAACTCTAAAGTTCAAAAGCCGCCTCCACAATTGCGTTTTTTGCTGCCGTCAATCATAATTACGATCACAAGCAACGAACCTTGAAACACAGTAACACACAAAATGGATCGAAATCCACCAATCACAAATCGCAAACCATGACCTTTTGAACCCGTTAAAGTAAAGTTTTGTTTTCTTAGAGGTACGTCAAGATAATTGACGGCAGCGAAAAACCGCAATCGTCAGTTGGCTTTTGAACTTCAGAATGCGCATGTTTGTGAAAAGCGGAGTAGTGATTGTATCGAATAGACTCTCCAGCGAGTACACACTATGAAAGGAGGTCGAAGCCTGGCATGGGTAGAATTTTCAGTCACTGTGTTTGGCAACCCAAGACCATAGCTGGTGCTTTTAAGGTGGCTCGACACAATAATTCTGTAGCGACACCTTTCATCTTTGAATCTCGCGGCGCATACTTTATGGGTGCTTGCCTTCCCTTATGCGAAGTTTCACAGAAATCTGTCAGAGGAATTTCGAGATATCGTGGAATTTCTAAAAAAGGGTATAAATTATGTATGAACTGAAGACTGGACTTTATGCAGACAAATTTGCTACTCTTTGGATATTTCCTGAAAGGTTTTATCGCTCATTCGTGTTTCAAATGACCCTTATACACTCTACAATCGGCTAAAGATAAGTAGACTTGCGCGATTTCGAAAAGAACCAATGCTGAGCTCTTTTTGTAATTTCTAAGGCTGCTTTCACGAAACAGCAATTAAACCAAAATTCGACGATAGATTTCCTTTAAAAATTTTCAGTGCTGCAATTGATCAGTGTGCTATAAAATGCCCTATTTTCTTTGTCCATTGAAACGTTTTAGTGAAATGATCTAAAAGACGTTGGCGAACAATACAGCAGAAAAAAGAATAAGATAAAACGTACGACTATAAATCACTGCTTTTTCCCCACGTTTACAGTCCACACAATAAGTTATCAGCTTTTATAAAAAGTGGTATCTTTAGGCTGTTACTTCAGTAGTGTTGGTGATCTTTACAAGGAATAGTGCCGTTCCTTTAACTTAACTTTCCTCATTAACTTTTTTCTTAGATATTGAAAGTTTTTCGCCTTCGGCTGGAAGTATTCATGGCGGTACCTTGATCACAATACGCGGAGTGGGTTTTAGTGACAATCCCGACAATGTCAAGGTGTTTGTTGCAGGTATGATGGAAAAGAAAGCAACAGCTGTGAAAAAGGACCCTCGCCAATTTTGATCTTTTAAATCAATTTTAAAATGAATAAATAGAAACAACGATTTACAAGTTTTATTTAAGGATTTCGAGGTAGCACATCCACTAAGTGGTTCCTTGTCGAATTGGAATTTGGAAATGGTTTTTGAGGAGAGGAGGAAAGCGGTGTACCCGGAGAAAAACCTTTTGGAGCAAAGGAGGGAAACCAACAACAACTCAACCCACATAGAGCGGTTTTCACTTGACTGTCGAAAGGGATTGGTTTTGGTTTTGGTTTTGGTTTTACTACGCCCTTTGGTTGGCTAGTGTATTTACTTTGGTTTTGGTTTTACGACAGTCAAGNGAGAAAAACCTTTTGGAGCAAAGGAGGGAAACCAACAACAACTCAACCCACATAGAGCGGTTTTCACTTGACTGTCGAAAGGGATTGGTTTTGGTTTTGGTTTTGGTTTTACTACGCCCTTTGGTTGGCTAGTGTATTTACTTTGGTTTTGGTTTTACGACAGTCAAGTGAAAACCGCTCTATAACGCGTTGACTGCGAGATTTTAACCCGAGCCACATTGCACCGTAATTTTTAGGGAGTTATTATAACTTCAAAAATTGGGTAACAATTTTAGGTACAGAATAACCCCGTTTGGGGGGTTACTTTAACTTTTAATTTAACTCCGAATTTGGGTCATTTTTACTCCTGATAAAGAGTTCTTTTTACTCCTAGTCTGGAGTTAAAATAACTCCGAAATTGGGTTATTTTTACTCCTTACATGGGTTGTTTTTACTCTTTTTAGGAGTTGATTAAATAACTCTGAAAGTGGAGTAAAAATTTTAGGTACAGGATAACTCCTTTTTGGGGGTTATTTTAACTCCTCAATATCCGGGGTCACTTTTACTCCTGAAAAAGAGTTCTTTAAACTCCTTTTTGGAGTTCAAGTAACTCCCCAAAAATAACTCCACTGTAAGGAGTTAAATTAGCCCCACTAGAGGGGTTATTATAACTCATTGAAAATTACTGTGTGGTGGGAGGCGAGTGTTCTCACCACTGCGCAACCCTTGCTCCCTTGAAAGGAAGAGGGGATGAAATATAAACAGACTTGCTATTAGATGTCAGTTTTTTAGAAATCTTAAAAAAAATGACTGGATTTCCTCTTGTTTTGTGCTACGGTAGCAGAGCGCTTTGTTACAAATGATTTCCTTGCACTGTATCGGGTTAAAAAGAGTGATGCAGTGTTATCAATTTTGGGACGAAAAAGAGGAGGTCTTATTTTTACAATTTGTTACAAATTATCACTTTTTTTAAAGACTAAGGAATAATGTGGTTTTTTGACATGAATAGGTGTACAATGCACAGTTATATCGTCCACATATACAACGATCATATGCCGAACTGGACCACGTGGTGAAGTCAAGACCATATATCCAGGTACGTTACATCTTACTTTAACGGTGAATAATACGTTAATTATAAAAGTGTGTTGGTGTTCACACGTTGTATTTTGGTGACGGGAATATCGGTATAGGGCCTTGTTTAAAAAAGAAAAAATAAGCACTATGATACTTGCAAGATGCAGAAGGATAAGCTGCTCGTTAAACGAAGACGAAGTCAACAAGGGACGTAAAAAAAAAACAATGAAACTACTGACAGTGACGGAATTTGCCCACACAACAACACAGAATACATCATAGCCTTCAGCAACGATTGTTTCGCGCTTCGAAAAAACACGTCTTGGAGAACTTATTATGTTCGTTGGCTGCGTAGCAAGAAAGAGGATTTCTAAAGAAAAGGTCATATTTCACGACGAGTTATTCTGAAGGCACAATTTCTTGTTGTATCAAAGCAGCACCTTTTTTGGCTATTTGGCGCATTTTTTTAGCCTTTTTTTCGAAGAGACTGTAGTTTTACACAGGTCAACGAACGCCCTTGTGTCATGCCTCCCTTCTCCGTCTTCCCTAAATCCCCTCCCGCCCCTCCCCCTTTCCACCTTCCAACAGACACACAAACACACAAACACCCTTAAGACCTAGTACTCAGGCTATACTTCGTACGATTCTAATTTACTTTTTGTAAACAAGGTTCTCGAGGTCTTCTTTGTGAATACTGGCAGACCACTGTCGAACCAAATCTCCCGGATATCGGTTCCTTGAATCCTGGTAACGCTGACTATTACGCAATACTTTGCACCGAGAGTAAATCTTCAGACCTGAACATCAACCGTACTTCGGGTTCCGCTTCAAAGATGTCTGGTTTCGTCACAGTAAAGAGCAATAACAACGGCACTTTCTACATTCTCTCTTCCGGTGGTAAAAGTGAGTTGTACCTAAGTCACACCGGGGAGCCGTCTGGAAAGGTACTGATCATGATGAATCTACAGTATAATTTTAATTAGTTTCAAGTCCCAAGAGAGGATACCATTACCCGGCTTTCTCGTTAGCTTGTATACAAAACCTTTCTCAAATCACCCTCCTTTGAGGCAGCCTCAAGCTCTCCTCATTACTTAAGTGCGAAAAAAGGGTTTCACAGGGAAACTTCATACAAACGTTCCACATTTGTGGAATATGATTACGTTCTCTTGCTTTAACGGCAAAAAGTGTGGCTGTATTAGGGTTAGGTAGAGAATTGCAAGACTATGGAAACCATAAGATTCCCGAATAGGATTGAAGACCTGTGCGAGAAATCTCCCATCAAGTATTACTATGAGATGAATCATCTACCATGCCCATATGTGTCACTTACGAAAATGTTTGGAATCACATGTTAAATCAGTTCAGTTAGCAAACTTAATGTACCCGGCCGTATCCGTGGAACCTCCTTTAATTATGAAGACCAAAGATCGCCAGTATAATATGAGAAGAATAAACAAGCAACGGTAAGGACGGGACTTCATTCGTGAGTAAACATAGTTAATTAATTCCACAACTTTGTTACTTTGTAACAATTTTTCAGTCAAAGATTGCAAGCTGTACATCTTCAACAAATAACTGGAACAGTGCCAGTGTTCAAGCGTCTGAGAGAATCCCTTTAGAGGCAAACAAACCTTACTACCTTGAGGCATACTCTGATGCTGATCATGTGACTGTACGGGTTCGACTAGACCAGACTGAACACACCAACACCAAAGTTGGCGCAGCTGTAGACGAGAAGCAGCAGATTACAATAAGCTCAAGGATTGACTGGGAGAAACAGGTTCGTTTCCTGTGGCTCTTTAAGATAAGCCTTCACAGCTGCAACAAGTTCATTTCTGAGCTGTTATCTCTTTTACTGAAGGACAAAGAAACTGTAACTGTATCAGAAGCAAGATAAGAATGTCGACTGTCTTTACCGGTATACTTTATACTTACGACGGATTTCTTTTTTGTTTTTTTTTTGTTAGTATTATAAATTAGAACAAAAAGCTGTTCCTTTTCTTTGCGTCGGTCACTTCTCCGTTTTTCGGTTATTTAAAGCTACTTAAAGCTACAAAGAGAGGGGAAAAAAGTAGAAACAAGGATTTGAGGTAAAAATTAGACCGATCTAAGGACTGACCTCTCGCACAGAAGGCCGTGCAATAACCAACTTTGCCAATCCTTGCTTTACAGGGCCAAAGTTAATTTTCGGAAAATATCTGTTCGGAAGACGATTTGAGGTCTATAATTTTCGGAACATTTGTTGTAAAATTTCTTGCTTGCCTGCCTTTCCTAGGATTTTCGAACATCTAAAAAACGGTGTAATTGCCCATTTTTAACGGATTTTTACCTTAAAAAGGTCAGCTAGAATTTTCGGGAGCCTTTTTTCTGGCTGAAATTTTCGAAAAGCTAAGTCTTGATCCCTATAACTTTCGGATCACTAGACTTTCAGCTAGGAAATCCGAACAGATGTAAAATTTTTAGGGGATTAAAATATGCCTATAATCTACCGTTTAAATACTAAAATATGTTAAACAATCCTGTGTTTAAGTGGTTTTGAACTATATTCTCGTTGGGTGCCCCTGGCTTTACCATCTGCACGTAGGGAGCAACAGAATGGCCAAGTGCTGAAAATTCAGTTTTTTTTCTCCACTAAATTCTTATGTAGCTTCCTTTGCACTTGCAAGTTGAAAAACATGATGAAACCTTTGATTTTCGTTCTAAAATCATCGATGCGATAAAGTGTTATAGCCCCGAAGGTTCTTTCTAGAGTACTATGTTGCTGTAGAAGGTAGGCTTCGGAACGAGACTTGAGATAAACAATCAAAAGTAAAAGAAAAAATATATAAAATCATTAGCGATGTTCCACCTCTTCCGGTAAAAAGTAACGAATTGACTGTGTCTTTAAACAGCATGTCTTTTCAACAATGTTTTCATCAAACTGTTTAACACGTTTGCGTTCTTTTTGTTTGTTTTTTCAGATTTTGGACTTTAGTAACTGGGATGAAAATGAAGAAGCCTGCGAAGAACAGCAAATATTTATAGAGACGCTGAATTGTGTGGAGAACAATATCACTAACTGTTCTGACAATTTTACTCTATCTTATTACGACGGAGCCATCACAATGTCTCTACAATACACAAACAGCACTGTTCTGGAAAAAAGACTCAACGAAATGCAGGCGTTCCAGGGCAGCGTCACAATCAACGTAACATTAGTGAACACAACGGAAGGAAATACTACAGTGTTTCGAGTGTTGTTCTGTTCCAGTGATCCACGAGGAATTGATGTCCTGAACGGAACAGTTGCTAACAGCCAAGCCTTAATGTTGAATATCACCGTCTCGGTTCAAGGGCAATCGGCAAAGGACTTCCAGTTGGTTTTTGACCAACCTGACCTACCCTCCAATGCTTTAACGCCCAGTTCATCAAAACAAAGCATAGAGCAGGTACTGGAGGATTGGTTTTCCAGAAAATGCGACTCTTCACCTAAAAGTAAGTGAAATATTACAGAGTTGCAATTTTATCTCAGTAAAAGCCTGGTAAGCCTGGTTTGACAACCAGGAAAGCCTGTGGTTTGTTGAACCTGACTTGCACAGTGGTTAACCCTAGTTTAATCATGCTTTAGGCGCTGGGGACTATTCGTTAAGAAGAAATGGGAATGGGCACAATTTAATTTTTTCAATCCATAAGGTCTGTAGACATCATTTATGGTACAAGTAATTGCGCGTAATATTGTGTTAAAAATTGTTTTTACCATTTTTTTAATCTTATCTAGCGGGATACTGGTTTTATCAAAAATACGAGGGCGAAGTCATCGGTTCTGAATCCGGACAGAGAACTTGCGATATTGAGCCATACTGTGGGAGAAAATCTTTACTGAACCCAGACAAGATTATTTGGCGAGCTGGGTACTCTTATACAGAACACTTTCGAGAAGAACCTCAGACATCTTACAAGATCTCAACGTACAAATATGTAAGTAAGAAAAGAAATCGACTTTTCCTGGCTTCTGCTAAACCATGACAGCATTTCTGGCGTCGTTTACGCCATTGGGAACTAAAAAGAAAAGATTCAGACTGGAATGTCGTTGAATAGTGAATAACTTGGGAAACCAGATGAAATGACGTTCTTGAAGTTATTTGCGTGAATTTTAGTGTTGTTTAACATTAGTTGGCCTTGGCATGAGTTTTCTCCACCAAAGGTTTGAAAAAACAATCGATAGCTTAAGTAAGATCCAAAAGTGAAAGCACACATTCAAGATTTTTTACTCACTCCTTCTGTTGCTGTTGATTGGTTGAATGTTATTATCCTTATTCTCTTTCTTCCAGTTCTGTTTTGCTTACAGAGGACCTGTAAAAGATCAGGTGAAATTTCAAGTTAATTACGGCGGTGAATACAATCCGCAGTACAGATACCACACACTAAGTTTCCAAAGATTCGTCCCTAGGTCAGAATGGGGATTTTCCTGTATAAATGTGTGGGAATATATAGAGACGGAATACGACGAAATTGCCCCTAATGTATTGATGAGAAGCATTGAAATTGTACGCTTGGAAAACGCGGAAGGAGATCGCGATATTTATATTGATGAAGTATGGATTGGAAAGACACCTTTAGTTGGTGAGTTCGTTCGATAAATTTATATGATATACATTTTTATAAAAAGAGAATTATTTTTAACTAAAGAGTAATATACTTGTCTTTTCGTATCTTTGACATAGCCTCCCACAAAATTCCTATAAATAGTAGACCACTGATGCTTATAGACTACCTTTGTAGTCTATATACATAAAATATCAAGGCTACCTTCCCGGCACCGGACGAATTCTCGGCCGGCTGAAAAATTTGAACGGCCGTTTTGTTCACACGGAACCGTTCTATATTTTCGCTCTGTTCAAACGAACTTTCGTAGGGTATGCGTCTAAATTTTCCTATTGTTAAGGTGGTTCAGTGTGCACCGAACGCCTAAACGCACGAATTTTCAAGCGGATAAAAATTCGTCCGATGCCGTGTAAACGTAGCCTAAGACAGCGCAATAGATCAACGAATAAATCAGTTGGAAGGTATACTGTACCCTTTACGTTTAAGAGATTGCTTTGGTGGTTACAGGTAAAAAGATCAATTATAGGCGCTCACAAAAGAAGCATTTCGTCCAAGGTGTTCGGACAACTGCTCTCAAGGTATTACCCAAGCAAGACGTTACATCTCCCCTTATGGAAGGTTAAACACGGCGTGGAAAATAATTCATTTTATAACAAAGCAAAAGTAAAGCGAGCGCTCTGATTGGTCAGTTAGTCATCCACCATTTGCCCGTGGGTGCACGCCCAAAACACGAGCTAGCGCGGTTTAAAAATCGAGGCAAATTCAGCAAATCTCCTCTCCTGTCAGTAAAATGCACCGATAAAATGTACAAATGAAAGGTGGAAGTTGAAGAAAATTCTCAGTTGTCGTTTTGAAGAAAAAAGTCAAAAGATCAAGCGACAAATTTGCCCCGGAGAAATTTATCACTGTTTACTTCGCGGCTAGGATCGGCAAAAGAAAAACCGAATGAGAATGAGAGAAGATTTATGACATTTATTACCAAGGGGGATAAATTATTTTATGCAGCCTGCGCGGCGTTTTTCAGTATCCCGGATGGGTACATCCGGGACCTACAATGGTAGATACTTAAACATCCGAACATGTGATTTCAGGCCTCTTTAGCAAGGGGCATAAAAGGTATATTTTGTGTATTTTTTAGAGGAGAAAGTCTGTTTTGAAATAGAAATTTATCAATTAGCATTGTGTTATCGCCTTTTTAGTCGAACTGATGTTAAATTCAAGCAAGTTTTTTAAGTTAACATGCTCAGATTCGAGACCGCTTTGTTGTGTAGTTTTCATATCATCGATTAAAAATTTTAGTTGAGTTACGGACACATTACGCAGGAATTACAAAAAGAATTTCATTTGAGTACAGAAACAATTGGGTTTTCAAACAAACATTTTTTGTAGTTGCAGCTGTGGTTTTCCCTCAAAGAATTTACCCTAATATTAAGAGCAAGTTCAAAGGTGCCATTCAGAATAACAACAAAAAACGTTTTGCAATTTACCTTAAGACGGAGAACGGTTGTTTCAGCGAAAAATAAATTTAAAGGCAAGTTTTTGAAAGGCATGATTGCTTACGCGCGGGCAGATGACAGCATACATCAACTCGTCTAGTGTACCGATGACTCAACCGAAGGCAAATGGAATCGCTTTTTCTAACTTTTGATTATTCTTTCGTGTTTAGCATCCTCCAGCGTCCATCCATAACTCGATGGTTGCACGCTAGCACGTTTACCATTTCTTAATTGGCTTTCATTCATATCTACATCTAAAAGCATAATAAGCTACAAGAGAAATCCCAACCTGAGTTCCCGTTGACAACCACTAAGGCATGATTTACTTAGAAATGCTGTTGTTTGAGTTAAAGTGGCACCTTTTTTACAGTGACGCGAAAAACAAGTGGTGCCATGCCAAATGGTTTTGTCATCAAAGATTTCCAGGTCGAACAAACTGGTAACAACTGGACCATCTCTCTCCTCCCTGCAAAGTGTGGCTCCCCTCTTCCACTGCTTGCTGTTGTAGATGCTCTCAAAGGAAACAGCAGTAAGGACAAAGCGACGTATACTGCAAAAGGACTTACCTCAAATGTTCAAATCACACGTATACAGAAAGCTTCTCCTCGAGTCCGAGGAACCTTTGAAATTGAATATAACGGAAAAGTATTGAGAGGTGGGTGAAACTGATGAGAGAGCATTGACCTTTCCTAGTCCTAAATCTTGAACTAGTTTCCTATTTGACGTAAATCAAATTAAGTTAATTTGATCGAGTTTTCTAAGTTTAGTTTACTTTAATTAATTGTTTCTTTTCTTCCTTACTCTGCCGCTCTATTCTACCCTCCTAAAATGTGCTCTACTCTACTCTACTATGCTTTAATTTACTTGAATTGACTTGAATTGAATTGACTTTGGTGTACTCTCTCTCTTTCTGCAACCTATTTAGACGTTCCTGCTAACATATCCGAAGCGCGGCTAAAAGACCTCTTGGAGGAAGAATTCGAGGAAGGAATTATGGCGGTGGAGAGAGACGGCACTTGTGCAGGGTTCAATTGGAAAGTTTCATGGCTGACGCGTGGGGGTAACCATCCTCAAATGCAGGTCAGAGGCGATGGATTGACTGGTAGCCAGGTGTCCATACAGGCTAATACTATTGAAGATGGTGGGTTATTCCTAGATCCGCTCTCTGGAGAATACCTGCAAACTCCTAGTGTTTCAGGAGAGGTGAGGAGCATGTAGGCAATCTGTACATGAATCACTGTATTTAGATGTAGCAAGGTCATTCACGTCTCGATCTCCATTAAGTACCGCCAGCCGCCACCCCCTCTCCCCGTGATTACCCTGGGAATTTAGGCAAAGTTTATGATGAAATACGTCTATAAATTTTGCAACGCTATTTACGTCTGGTTCTCCGTTACATTACGTCAGCCGCCAGCCCCCTCCCCCTCTACCTTCCGCGATTACCTAAAAAATTTAGACAATCTTTACGATGAATCACGTCTATAAGTTTTTCAAGGTTCATTTGCATCTGTTTCTCCGTTAGATAAGGAGAGCGCCACCCCCTCCCTTCCTCTGCCCACCCCTGAACACTAATAGCATTTAGACAATCTTAGCGATGAATCTATGAATCGTCTATAGGCGGATCTTTATGTACATTTTTGCCTAATTAACATATGCTTATCATCATCTGGTGGAGCTAATAAAAGAATCTATGAATATTGAAAGGACATAGCAATTTCAGTTATCTTTGAAAATTTGAGCCTGATTTTTATCATTATTATTATTATTATTATTATTATTAGTGTTATTTTTTTTATTTTTATTTTTTTTTTATTTTTTTCAGGTGGTGGTAGAGGTGAATGGTATCACTGGATCATGTAACAATATGAATTGTTCTTTTAACTACACAAATGAGCAAACACCCCAGCTGACATCTGTATCACCGTCCTCTGGTCCAGGAGGTCCCCCTGGGACGGGAACAATTATCACCCTGGGTGGGTCAGGATTTTCCACAATCAATGAAGAAAATGTGGTCACTATTGGTGGATCTGAGTGCGTCATACAAACAAGTGCTGTTGACAGCATCACATGTCGAGCAGGTAAATGCTGTTTTTATGGTCAACAATTTATTTAAAAGCTCCCTGCTTAACCTAGCTAGCGCCTACAGTAGGGACATTTTTTGTTCTCAGACGAAGAAGCTATGGTAGTTTATGTTGCTTCTGAAAACTTAATATATTATTTACAATAACAACAATGACCTTCTGCACACAAAAGGGCTTTTAATTCGAAGGAAAATAAGACAAGTCCTCAGCCTGGAGTCTCGACTTTCGCATCTTGTATAAAATGCAAACGCATACTACACACATACCTAATTTTACGACGCGCAATGCTGGAATGCCAATGATACAGGCAACATTCACATGAAAACCATTCCATGCCCAGAAATAAGAAGCGAGATAGCCGTGAACCATTCATACGAGCTGTTTGTTCTTATTTTAAACCCGAGATCTGTATAAAAGTACAGTTCATCTTATTCAGTTTCCCCGTATCAATGGCCCTATTATGACTTAACTGCGGCCTTGTATACAACATGCTCTTTCTATTAATCAGATACAATGAAAGATTTTCCTATTGTTTGTTTGTTTGCTTGGTAGGCTATGGCCCTGGCGGAAGTCACGAGGTGAAGATCTCCGTGGAAAGAAAAGGGGTGGCTGGCAACGATCAAAGGCTCAATTTCACATACATCATCACCGCAACGTCAGTCACTCCATCCAGCGGAAGCACAGCTGGAGGTCAAGAAATCACCATATATGGCAGTGGTTTTGGTGATAAGAAAGACAGCGCCACAGTTTCCCTGGACGGCTCTGCTTGTGAAATCATAAGCATCAATATGTCCCATATCACGTGCACGACAGGTGCACACGCTGCCGGAAGTGTGTCAGTAGACATCTCAGTCGACGGTAGTTCAACTTCTGTTTCCAGTGCCTTTAATTATAACTCATCTTTGAATATTCAGGTGACTAGTGTGGCTCCACTGCAAGGAGGAGTCCGTGGTGGCGATCTAATAACTATTTCCGGTTCCGGGTTTCTGAACACGACTGTTGTCAAGGTGGGAGACGGAACCTGCGTGATACAAAGCTTTTCGTCTAGTCAAATCACGTGCTTAACCCCACGACATGCTCCCGGTATATTCCCTGTTAAAGTGGTGACGCCAGGAAAAGGTTTTGCTGTAACTCCAGAGGAATTCAAAGAGTTCGAGTATGTTTTTGTGGTGCAATCCATATTTCCCCGGAACGGATCAGTCGCAGGTGGAACCCATGTGTTTTTCCAGGGACGAGGCTTCATATGTGATAATTCAAGCACTGTCGTCGAAATGCACGGCAAACCATGCAAAATTTTATCTTGCAATGCTTCATCTCTAAAATGTGAAACAGCGCCTGTGTTCAAAACAATTGTGGTAGAGAACACTGGAGTTCATCCAAGTAAGTTCCTGACATGAGTGAACACAGTTCATCTGACGAATTTAAGTTAGAAATTGCAAAGGATCCATTTTATCGTATCGGTGCAGTTGTTTTCAAGATATATAATTTTGAGTTAATCTCTATCATTTAAACTTTTTCCACTTCCACCATTTCAATTATTTAGTTTTGTTGTTGGTTTTCCTCACTTACTAGTATTACGATGTTAACAGGGCCAACATTGATCCCAGCTTAGTTACTTTGGTGGCTACCCAGTAGTTTATTTATCATTAAAGTCATTATTATCATTAATATTAACATTACTGTTACTTTTAATGCTATTACATTTATTATTATCGGTTCACGGATCTGATGTTCTAAGAATTTCAATTGCTTTCGTTTGACAATTGATATAATCGTACAATACACTTTGATTCGTTTTGCCAGCTTTTGGAAAAGGGTATGAATGGTCACCGAAGCACGTGACCTGTTACCAAGGTGACACAGTTGAGGTAAGGGGAAAACAAAAGTAATGTTTAATCGAACACTTTGATAAACCACTTCGAAAAAAATGTCTTATGGATCTCTTAAGAACAGATTTGGGTAGTGCGTAGAGTATAAAAATCAAGCATATCAGGTGGCTTGAAGAACTTCAAAAACACTAATATTTATGTACTGTATACGGATTTGAACGAAAATAAATTCAATCGTTTTTACCCTACAGAGTTCTCTACGACTATGCAATATTAGCAGGCTTTTAATGATGATAATGTAGCATAGGATTGATGATATAAATGCATTGGTATACGTTTGAATCCAAGACAGGTCTTCAGTGTAATAAGTGAAGTATATAAAATAACTGTTAACGCTTTTAAATTCTTTCTTCATTCCTATTGTATTTATTTATTTTTTCAGTGGAGGTGGTCTGGACAGGCTAACGCTATTTTTAATGTCTTTCAAACTACTGATTCTTCTTCGGTTGATTACGATGGCTTTGGATTTCGCAGTGACAGCAGCAGAACTGGAACTTTTAAACACAGGTTCGCTGAATAATTATTCTTGAAATGACGTTTCTGATACACTATTGAAGACTTATCGAGTTTTACAATATTTGGTTTTATTGTCTATGCAAACTTAAAGAAGAGTTGCTCCTCATTTATTTGTTATCGTTAAGCAATAAAAAACGCGTGTTTGTATAACCTGATATAAACACGAGAGGATGTTGGGAGAATTCAAGACAGTTATCAAACCGAGAATATGTTGAGGGCCTGCATAACTAATAAACAGAAGCAAAACTCTTTGTTCCTGGCACCGATTGAAAGAGAACTTCTTACCAGTGGCTAAGTGTTGCCGGTATGCACACTTTTTATACCCGCAATCACCACTTGTTTTGCAAAAAAGATGTTATGGAAATACATATTATACATATTTCGATCAATAGAGTACGTTGGGAGCTGCTAAATCACCTCTCATACAACACCAGGATTATAGAATCATTTGAAAGCAGTTGTAAAAATAACAACGAGTAGCGAATAAACTTTTTTTCTTCAAGCCGATTTGCTGTTATGTCTCAAACAAATTGCACATTGTTAAAGAAATGTCAAGCAAAAGATCTCTAAAATTTGGGTAAAATACATTTAAGTTAGCCAGGTCTCTTGTTTTAACGTAAAGTCAAAGTGAGTTCAAGGATTGGGAGACTATATAATTTAACACTTTCTAAATTTTGCCAGGTTTCGTGAGCCAGGTGTGTATTACTATTCCGGCAATGGTATTGTTCAAATGAAGGGAGTGATTAGGGTTCTTCCACATGGAGCACAGACCGGTCCAATCACCATAAAAATAGACGGTAAGGTACATGCTTTACAAATATTTCCACCACCAGATATCAACCTTCTGGCTCATTTTCTTTTATGTTAGTAGCTTAGGGATATTAAAGCCCGGCGTGGTGCATTTTCGCCTTGTTGACATGGTTACCACGCAAATGTCTGTTATTAGATTTTTACTAGTGTCACCAGATTTCTGTGGTCTTTTTCTTCAAATATGCACGCAGCACGTGCCTAGAATTTCCCATGATGCTACTCTCTCTGGACCATATGTTTTCGTAATGACGGCTTACTGTTAAATGTTGTTGTGTTTTCGATCCCTGCCGTGTTCCTTATTTTCTGCCGTAACAAAATCAACATAATTGAGGATTTATGTGTTATATAACCTTTTCTTTAGGTTACGATGCACTTTACAATCTGACTTCTATCTCAAGTTCCTCCTCAAATTGCGATTCCGGGAGAGTTGATCCTATTTATGGATGCAATACTTCCGCAGCTGAGGAACCAGGCGTTTCACAAACCAGCTTTACCTATACATCATGTAGCATGCCTAAAGTGTCTTCCGTCTCTCCTGCTCAAGGTATCAGCGACACGGTAATAACAATTCGTGGGAACGGCTTTAGTGATGAAACGTGCCAGAACAAAGTAAATTTTGACTCGTATGATTGTCAAGTAATCTTTTCCAATGAGACAATGATCACCTGTCAGCTTAATACTGTTGATTCCCCACCCGCCGGTGAACCACTTGATGTCTCAGTGAAAGTGATTAACCGAGGCTTCGCAATTGTCAGTAAAGCTCCTGGTAAAACCACTCACTTTATGCTAAAACCCACTATAACTTCAGTGTCACCGAGCACTGGCTCACAAGCTGGTGGGACTCGAATCACTATAACGGGCAATGGATTTAGCGACATCAGTGGCTTCAATGTGGTGCGGATTGGCAACACTATTTGTGAGGTCATCAGCTCGTCATTCACCAGTATTGAGTGCAACACGAAAGCTTCAACCAACGACCAGCAGCAACCCGTCAATGTTACAGTTAAGGCAAGCACCAGTGAGTGCGTTGCTTCTGAAATTTCAGATTGTCAATACACATTTTCTGATGCCAACACCCCTGTTGTTAGCACTTCTTCACCGAGCAGCATCGTAAGTCCTCAACCAACGGAATTGCTGTTTCAAGTGTCAGGCCTTCCTTCTCAACTTTCTGATGTTACGGTTAAGGTGGGCAAGGAAATTTGTAACGTAACACTAGTGGATGCTTCCTCACCGTTGCTTAAGTGTGAGATTTCAGGAGCTGTGGTTGGAAATCACAAAATAACGATTAACGTATTAGGCAAAGGAAACGCGCGGTTCGACACTGGTTTATCAGAAACTCTTGTAGTTGAACCAAAGGTGACCTCGATATCACCAGAGGAAAGCAGCATAAATGGAGGATTGACGGTGACCATCAACGGAAATGGATTTGATCCATCTCCAAATGAAACAACTGTTACCATCGGAGGAGACGCTTGTAAGATAATGACAGTAACACATGGACAAATAAAATGCGTAACACCGCCGCAAGCAGCCAGTGATTCTGTTACGTTACAAGTTATAGTCAGCTCGAATGTTGGCAGTTCGTTTCCCGCAGCCACTATAGCTTATACTACAGCAGCTACTCCTGTAGTTACGTCACTTTCATCCACAACGGGCAAAGGTGGAGACATTTTGACGCTTTCTGGGAGCCGGTTGGATCCGTTGTCTTCCAACGGGGAAGTAGAGGTTCTCATTGGAGAAGTGCCATGCGAAGTAACAAGTTCAGCCCAAAGCAATGTTGTTTGTACGTTGGCTTCACATGCTGCAGGTTCAAATAATGTTGGCATCTTGGTACCTGGCAGAGGGGAAGCAACAACAACAGGAATTTCTTTTCAATATAGTTTGAATATAGCCACTGTGAATCCCAGTCAAGGTGGATTCGGGGGAGGAAGCCTTCTCAGAATTCAGGGACATGGCTTCGACAACAATGCGGTGATCACAATTTGTGGTAACGAGTGTGCTGTTCGATCAAGTCACTCTACGACAACAACTCAAATATCCTGCGAAGCACCAATGCATCCTAATTACGCAACAGGAGTAAATCAACCATGCGACGTTGTAATAACCTTGAACGGTGTTACCTCTACTTTGTCTGGAGGTTTTACTTACAGAACCGACATGACTTCCGAAATAACTTCTGTCACACCACCCAGAGGTGGGACGGGTGGAGGCACTATACTCATCATTAAGGGCAATGGATTTAGCAACACCCTGAATGACAATGTGGCTAGCATAGATGGTACCCCCTGTGAAATAATCTCGGCGAACTCGTCCTGTATTGTGTGCAAAACTGGCAATCACAGCAGAACAATTGAGACTAAAGTTCGAGTAGACGTAGGAGCAAACGGCAAGGCCCTGGATGCTAACGGATTTTACTTTTATGTGGACGTTTGGTCTTCGCCATACACCTGGGGAAATGATGATCCGCCAAAAGAAGGTCAGTCACGTGAATAAGCGTTCCGGGTATCAATGAAGTAGAAATTTAGAAAAATAGATCGCTGTACTGTCAAAGGCAAAACTAAAACCGCGGTGTTATAGTAAACTGGATAAGCCACCGTTCAAGAGATTTACCATTTTTAATGGTAGCTATTTAGATTTGATTCAGTTGACAGAGTACCTTTCACGCCCCACCTTCGCAGTACTAAAGCTGCATCTACTTCAGGGACTAATAAAAAATTATTCGTTTTCTTGAGGAAACAACTGCAATCAATCACTTGGTGAAATTTAAAACCATAGCATCTTGTCTAACCTGTCTAGAACGCCAGGGTACCCCAAATCCTTCTCCTTTTATTGCAGATTTCAAGATAGTAATGATCGTGACATTGATAATGGCAGTAACCACCATTACGCATTACTCTAAACACATAGAAATGACAAAAGTTTACAAAGTTTGCTGTTGTTCTCCACAGGAGCAGTTGTGTACATAAAGAAAGGCCAAACGATTTTACTCGATGTAGACACGCCTGTTCTTAAACTACTTCTCATTCAGGGAGGAAAACTAATATTTGACAGGGACAAACCTTCCCTTCACTTGCAAGCAGAGAATATACTTATTACGGATAAGGGAACATTTCAAGTGGGCACTGAGGACGAACCATTTCCAGGAAACGCCACTATTACCCTGCACGGTCATGTTCGGTCCCCAGAGATTCCAGTTTTTGGTACCAAGACACTTGCCCTCCGAGAAGGAACACTTGATCTTCATGGTATGCACGTGCCAATCACCTGGACACATTTGAGTGCCACGGCCGAAGTTGGTGCCACTGAGCTACACCTGATGAAAGAAGTCACATGGAAACCTGGAGATCAGATTATTCTAGCACCTACTGGAAAATCCCAGCGCGAGTTCGAAGAACTTACCATAACAGCTGTTTTAAACGGGAATAAAACACTGCAAATTACTCCAGCAATTCGCTACAAGCACATCTCTATTGTCCAGACTTTTAATGGTATTCACACCGTGGAAACGCGCGCGGAGGTTGGACTTCTCACGCGCAACGTGCGAGTGAGAGGCTCTGTTCATGCCATGTGGACCGAAACAATCGAGGCTTGTCCAGACGAATTCAGACCGGGGCAGTTTCAGACACAGACATGCTTTCAAGGGAAGTTTGGCGAAGAGATTGGAAGTGACGAGTTTGGTGTTCAAATCATGATACACGCACCCGAGGAAAGCAAGGATATGGTTACAGCCAGGTTCAGTTACGTGGAGATCTCGCACGCAGGACAGGCATTCCGTCTCGGTCGCTATCCAATACATTTCCATCTCAGTGGTGACGTCAGGGGTTCTTATGTCCGTGGCTGCGCGATACATCATAGTTTCAACCGAGCAATTACCATGCATGGCGTCCATAACCTTGTTGTAAGACATAACGTTGTGTTCTACGTTCGCGGAAACGCATTATTCATGGAGGACGGCATTGAAACAGGAAACGTAATCGAATATAATCTTGGAATATTCGTCATAGCTTCGTCATCGGCTTTAAATGTTGATATAACCCCAGCTACGTATTGGGTGACTAATGCAAACAACACGGTCCGCCATAACGCGGCCGCTGGAGGTAGCCACTTTGGGTTTTGGTATCAGATGTTTGAACATCCGGATGGCCCATCCTTTACTCCTGACTATTGTCCTAGAAACGTTTTCATGTACGAGTTTATCAATAATTCAGCACATTCCTTTGGTCGATATGGATTGTGGATATTCCCAACTTATCATCCTCTGCAAGGAGGCCGATGCAATTCATGGAAAGCTGAGCCCGCCGTGTTTGGCAGTTTCATCGCTTATAACAATATGCGTGGTGCTGAGGCTGTCCAAGTAGGAGCAGTTCAGATGCATGACTTTAAAATGCTGGATAATGATATCGCGGGGATTGAGTACGTCTTCGCAGACCAAAAGGACACTCCCTGGGGAGGGCCCAGAATTGTAAATGCACTGATCGTTGGCCACAGCCAAGCAAGCGAGGGGCTAGAACTGAAGATCAGAAGCAACACACATTGTACAGAGTCTGGCATTAGACTTCCACAGTTTTCCAAACTTGTCGTTGAAAATGTCACTTTCGTAAACTTTAACCGCTCAGGTTGCACCTGTTACACCACATGTGCACAGTGCTTGGAGTTTAAAAAGAAAGGCGGTTGGACCACACTTACTTTAAAAAACACTTTTGTGAACTCCCCGCGCCGAACTGCCTTACGGTGGAGCCACGAAGCGGTCATAGTAGATCTCGATGGAAGTCTTACTGGTTATGTGAATGGCAGCATAGTACCAAGTAATGGAAATCTCCCTCCTCAACATTGTTCTTTTTCACCACCAGACAGCTTCGGTCCTCATAACGGGAGCGTCTGTAATTCAAACGTAAAGTTCAGGAGATTTGCCTTTAACCGTGCAGGACCGTCCTCTCTGAAAGGAAAAAACGTTCTTTTCAGAAACCAGTATGGAACGTCTGTGGCACCGTTTTGCTTAAAATGCGCAACGCATAAAGAGGGCTGGGTGGCGTTATTGATCGTTGGAGAAAACTACAACATGACATTTATAGATGCCTCCCAGATCACGAACATCACTTATTCGGGAAAGTTTTATGAAATGAGTGTGCACGACCACATCTGGATAAACCACCCCTTGACTCAAAGACCGGACATGTTCACTACTACTGGAGTGTATCAAAATATGACAGAGATCGTGCCCTCTGCCAGTGCAAACCATGGAAGTTGGAGCTTTAACAACGAAACAAAAGTCTTTACATACCTTTCGTCAGGGAAAAGTGGGACTCGTACACCCAACAACAACATTGATCCAGTTTCTATTCAGCTTCTCGTGTATAGGTGCTTCTACAAAAACTGTATAACCCCTACTCCACCCCCTCCTCCAAAAGGCAGGCCGTCAAGTTTCCTGCGCTGGTCGAACGTCGACCATTGGGAAGGAACGGAACCTATGTATGGTGGTTATGGTCGCCGGCTTCCTAAAAACGGAAGCGACGTCATGATACTGAGAGACTGGTACATGCTTGCCGATATACAATTACCATATTTGAACAAGCTATTGATTTTTGGGACTCTAGAGATTGAAGACCTCCGTGGAGAGGATATGGTCATAAATGCGACACTGGTATTCGTCGCCGGAGGCCTTATTGTGGGATGGCCCGACAAGCCGTATCTCTCGAATTTATTGATATCTCTACGAGGTGACGTAAACAGCGAAGAGTATGAACCCACTGCTGGTCTGAATGTAGGAAGCAAAGCTGTTGCTGTATTTGGATTCATGTGGCTACATGGCAAGCCAAAGTCCGTTTGCTGGACGCGATTGGCTGCTACTGCTTCAGCTGGGGATCGCTTTCTGATACTTGACGAGCCAGTGGACTGGGATGTTGGTGACGAAATTGTCATAACATCAACGACTGTGGAGCCTCGACAGACTGAAAAGTCTTTTATCGAAGATATTTCACAAGACAGGCGTAATCTGACATTGACCGCTCCTCTTCAGTACAGACATATTGCAGAAACACACACGGCTGGAAACTGGTCATATAGGTTGACAGGAGAGGTAGGACGACTCACAAGGAACATTATGATAGAAGGCGCCGACAATCCTGCAGGATCCTTGACTGAACAGTCATTTGGGTGTCGTGTTTTAGTAGCAGGTGAACATGCTAGCACTAGGATTGAGTATGTGGAGATCAGGCATTGTGGACAGGAGGGCTGGATCGATGATTTTGATCCCAGGTAAGTTCACCTCTTTCTGTTCTTTTACATGTATTATTATTATTATTATTATTAACTTAAGTGGGGGCACTGATAAAAAAGGGATTTTTATGACGCGTTTTGACGTCACATGGCTTCGAAACTATTAAATATCATAAAAACATTGGAGAGAAGTTAATGGCCAACGTACAAAGTAGTTTGAACTGTCGGACTCTTGAATAAATCAGAGACCTTCTAGATACATTATACAACTGCTGAATAACATGTTTCTTCAGGATTAACGTCTGCAATTGCTGATGTTATTTATCTGTTTCTTTTTTTATATACGTGCTTGTTTTCGTTAACCAACAATAAGCACTTTTTACGCTTTTTTAATTTTCATATTTGCTCTTAATTGTTTCAGATTCTCGTTAGCTCTGGTTAACATCGGAGACGTTATTGGCAATGACTCCTATGTGCGCTGCAACGCAATACATGATGGTTATAACCCCGGAATTGGCGTCTTCGGAACAAACAACTTAACACTGGAGGATAATATTGTTCACCATACTGTTGGCTCCTCTATCCAGGTCACTGGGAAATTTAACCTTGTGTTACGTAACTTGGCTGTATACTCGATTTCCATCCACACATACAAGGACAGAAGGGACCACTCGAATGTGCACTGGCCAGGCGCCATTGAAGTACACAAAGCAGAAGATGTAGTTTTGATAAACAACACTATAGCTGGAAGCGAACGCTTTGGATATAAGATTGACGGAGTGAAATGCGCGCCTTTCTATTCCCCAGGGGATTCTCCCTCCTCGGGAAATATAGTTCACGGTGCATGGCACGGAATTCATTTGCACTACAAAGAGGGATTTCCAGAATGCAGCATGATAGCAGGGTACTTGACATGGAAAAATCTTGACTACGGTGTCTTCATATATCCTGAATGCAGTGTCATTGTAGACCACGTTATTGCTGTTGATAACACTGTGGGTCTGCTTCCTAATGTCTGGGGACCTCACGCGTTGACGCATAAAACAGCTAACAAATACTTTATTTTAAGAAACAGCCTGATTGTTGGCACCAGTCCAAACTATGACTGCGCAGATGACTTTGTTCCCTATGCCAAGCAACCATACGGCTCCGTAGGAGCAAAAAAGGCACCAGGAGGTATGTCATCTGCTCAATTCTACGATTTTCCTTGCTTTCCGTTGCTTCCTGTAGAAGATTGAAACAGAGACCCAATAAGACTTATTCGCACCAGTTTTTTTNTTTCCAGAATGCAGCATGATAGCAGGGTACTTGACATGGAAAAATCTTGACTACGGTGTCTTCATATATCCTGAATGCAGTGTCATTGTAGACCACGTTATTGCTGTTGATAACACTGTGGGTCTGCTTCCTAATGTCTGGGGACCTCACGCGTTGACGCATAAAACAGCTAACAAATACTTTATTTTAAGAAACAGCCTGATTGTTGGCACCAGTCCAAACTATGACTGCGCAGATGACTTTGTTCCCTATGCCAAGCAACCATACGGCTCCGTAGGAGCAAAAAAGGCACCAGGAGGTATGTCATCTGCTCAATTCTACGATTTTCCTTGCTTTCCGTTGCTTCCTGTAGAAGATTGAAACAGAGACCCAATAAGACTTATTCGCACCAGTTTTTTTAATTATTATATTCTATTTTTAAGCCCTTTGTTCCATGATTTGGCAAGTTTTTTTTTTTAATTTGATTAATGGCACTTTCCTTAGGAGGTATACAATTGTGTAAAATAGCAACCTACTTCCCGTTAAGCACTCTGATACCAGTTTTATCATTTTTGCGCAGTGAAAATTGCTACTTTGCCCAAACAGTTGCGATGGATGACTTTCCTTGTGCTATAAAGGCCATCATGCTTAACGTCATCTCCTTTCAATAATCGTTAGAGCAAATGCAACATATTCACAATCGTTCGTAACTCACCACCCATTAACTTCGCAATCGTCTTAATAGTGCACTTGTTAGTTTCTGATTTATATTTTGTTTTCCAGTTAACCTCTCAGCATTCTTTTTAACTCAAGTTTTCTTCTGCTCCTTACCATTTGTACATTTAGATGAATTACTTGTTTTTACATGTGAAATGAATACATTCTGGAGTACGCATTTTGTCTTTTGTATAAACACTGCCCACCCAGACCAGCCTTTGCTATTTGCGGGCAGCGAGGAAATAAAATTGTAAATTTGGATTAACCAATAAAAATGAAATGAAAAGTTGTCACATTTTAATTTTTGCAGGAGGTAAAATTGGCGTTACGATGACAAACTTTGGCTCTGCACCAGCCAATGGTCCAGTAATGCCCTGGGAAAGTCCACCCACCTATCCTGGGATCAATGGTTACACTCTTTACCGTGAAATCACCTTTGCTGGGTTCCAGACCACATGTAACAAGAGGCATCGGGCAATAATGAGCAATTCATGGGCTGGAGATATAATGCACCCAATTGATGTTATGGGTAAGTTTAGTAGGAGGAAAATACGACCCTTAATGTAACAACAATGTCCAGCTTCTGATTAACAATTCTAAATTAGAATATAAATAACAATTATTCACCGATGGAGGTGGCTAGCCACCGACACTAGGGTGAATAGTTGTTTTAGTATATACTAAAACAGTGAGATAATTGAGCACAAAAATGATGATATTTAGCTCATGGACTGTTGCCAAGGATTACAATTTTGGCGCGCAATGACCGAACGGCCGCAGTCGTCGCTTTTTCTTGCCGACAAATAAAACTTTTGAAGGCATTTGTTTAGCTCTTTCGGGGAAAGTTCTTCAAAAGGAGTTGTGAATTCCTTTTGTATTTAAAATCATTCTGTAAATAAGATTATTAAATTTAGTTTTAAGCTTATTTATGAACAAGTCAACTAAATAAAGTAACGCAAGACTTAAGCTCAATTTGCATTTGTAAACAAAAAACTTTTTCACCGGTTTCATCGATAAATTCAAGTAAAAAAGACAAAGCTTTACCTGTTAAAACTTCCAAACCGAACTTCGTCACCTTCCTCGTGTATTTCGGGAACAGCTTGCTTGATTATTTGTCAAATTCCTTTGTTTGTTACGGCAGCAAACCGGGAAGGCATTTTGCTCGCAACTTGGCGAGTTTGGCGTCGCTTGCTCAGAGGAACTGGAGGTGAATCAGTGAATAGTGCAGGATATTCACTGATTGGGTAGCCAATCGGAGCGCGCGAAAAACACTATCCACTGTTTTAGTATATACTAAATATGTATCTCTTAGTGTAAGACCTTTGACTCCATTTTCAAGGAGTGTCAGTAATTTTTAATGTTGGGTAAAAACAGCACTGGGACAACGCTCTATTGGCATACAGTGGTGGAATAAGATAACGTTATATAAAGTTAATTACCTCTAACCAATTGACCGACTGACCAAAACGCTGGCACAACTACTTTTGCTCATGAATGTGACACCCCACTATTCCATCATGTCCACCTGGTGAAGTAAGTATCCGCCGATTCCTCGATCGTTTTTTTTTTTCGTATCAACCAGAGTAATGCCTCATTTCGTTTAATCATCCGAATTGGAATCAAATGGTCGAATTATTTTCAAAGGAAAGTGGGTAATTTGAGTTGAAGTTTAGAAACACGTCAGTGTATTTTCTTCCCTTTACTATGAACGTAGCTGGGTTTTGGCACCCAACAATCTCTTTTCTGAGTGTTATACTTCTTTTAGGTCTGCATTACGACTCCGTGGACGAAGAATCAAAGTTGTTGTATGAGGAAGCGACCCTTGATTTAGTTAATCCATCGGATTGCGTGGACATGGATTGTGATGGAAGAAGGCAGCTTCTAATCCAGGATATTGACGGTTCCCTGGTTGGCTCTCCTGGCGATACAGTGATATCCATGGCTGAATATGAGTGGGGTGGGGACTTGCGGTTTGGCCTGGGTACGTACGTTTAAATGCCTTCTCTCTAGTGGCTCGTTCTCAATAAATGTTCACGTTCCACCCTAATAAAGTTAAGAATCGGTAGCTGGAGACTGAATTTCAAGTATTTTTACCACTTTAATTTCAGAGATTAAGTTGGTCTTCTACGCGAAAAGTGAAATGTTAAGTAAAACATTTGCGGCCAGTTTTATGTTAACGTTTTTAAATTCCGGAGGTTTTCTCCCATATGGTACATACAGGGATGCTTGTCGGGAGACCTATCAGGGTTTAGCTTAAGCTTTTTTGAGCCCTAATAGATATCATAATAATCAAAATAGAATTTACATTTTTTTTTTCACGTGCAACCCAAAACGAGGTCTTGACGACTTAAAGTGTTGACTTCATAGCCAGAACACCCTAAGTAACACCAAAAATCCGAATTTTTACAACTATAAAAGAGACAATGAGCTTTCCCGTCTTCTTTATATACCCCCCCCCCCCCTAGTTCTCACGCTCCTCCACTTTGAGGTAAACCCTATAAGACAAATTACTGCCGTTGCTATAATAACCTAACGGGTCAACAATTGACCGTAACTTGTCCACTGGGAAATCTGGTACAGGTTTAAAAACAGTTTTTCACTGTTCCAATCTGTTCTTCTTCCGGGAGAAAGGGTGATGTAGTGGTGGGAGCACTCGCTTCCCACCAATTTTGCCCGGGTTAGTATCCCGGCATCGACGCCATATGTGGCATGAGTTTGTTGTTGGTTCTATCCCTTGCTCCGAAAGGTTTTCTCCGAGTACTCCAATTAACTCCTCCGTTCAGAAACCAACACTTCCAATTTCCAGCTCGATCTGGAAAGCATCGACGAGTTTTCTAGAACTCTTAAGTGTTTCGAGAGTAAACAATTTACAATTTACAGTTTTGTTAAATATGATGCAGGAGATTATCGAATCCCCAAACCGGCCTTGACAGCTGTCGATGGAGCGCACCTGAACGTATCATTGGTTGCCCCNCCCCCCCCCCCCCCTAGTTCTCACGCTCCTCCACTTTGAGGTAAACCCTATAAGACAAATTACTGCCGTTGCTATAATAACCTAACGGGTCAACAATTGACCGTAACTTGTCCACTGGGAAATCTGGTACAGGTTTAAAAACAGTTTTTCACTGTTCCAATCTGTTCTTCTTCCGGGAGAAAGGGTGATGTAGTGGTGGGAGCACTCGCTTCCCACCAATTTTGCCCGGGTTAGTATCCCGGCATCGACGCCATATGTGGCATGAGTTTGTTGTTGGTTCTATCCCTTGCTCCGAAAGGTTCTCTCCGAGTACTCCAATTTGCTCCTCCGTTCAAAAACCAACACTTCCAATTTCCAGCTCGATCTGGAAAGCATCGACGAGTTTTCTAGAACTCTTAAGTGTTTCGAGAGTAAACAATTTACAATTTACAGTTTTGTTAAATATGATGCAGGAGATTATCGAATCCCCAAACCGGCCTTGACAGCTGTCGATGGAGCGCGCCTGAACGTATCATTGGTTGCCCCTCATAAGGGTATCGTCCGTGGAACGCGGGATCATACTACGTGTTCGTGGCATGCTCCTTGGAACGCCTACAAGTGTAATGATCTTCATTTCCGGATGCTGGTTATTGAGAGTTTGGACGCGGATACTGAAACAAGGCGACTCTCTCCTGTGGCCCTGATTGCAAATGGTAGGTATTGAAAATACATTGACTTAGTGTACATACGTGAGAACAAGCAAGGTAGAGCTTTTGACCCTTGAACGAAGGGATAACTGGCTGTTGTGCATAATAAATAGTTCTAAACTTGAGTAAGATAGGTAGTGGATATAAATTCACCCTATTTATGTTATTTATAGCTGAAATACTATCCCGAAATACTTTCGAATAGTTAACGCTACAAATATATACTAGCATCTAAACCACTATTAATTCATACTATTTCGTTGAACTTGTAAAAACAAATATTCATTTTTATAGCTTCAATCCTTGATAATTCGAGTTATTTTAAATAACATGAATTCATGAATTCTGGATTGGAATTTTCAGACCCTCTTTCGAATCCAGGGGGCTGAGCAATTTTCGAAAATTATATTCTGCATAAGGACCTTGACCGCAAAAAATTCTTGCATTGAGTTATTAACCTCATATTTATACCTGAAACAAAATATAGAAATCGATCACGTTTGTGAGTATGATAAAATAATTCTTGTCTAAACAAAATCCCCCGGCAGCCACCCCGTCCAATAACCCCCCCCCCCCGCCCCACAACTCCCACCCAACAGCAACTTCCACCTTGAAAGTTAAATGGTCCTCCTTCTATGCTTACCTCATGAAGTAGTGATCACTCTTAAAAGGATAACAATTGAAAAGCTTATCACTGTTGATCATCATTACATCAGGTTATGTGAATCTTCTGAATGGGCCGCAAGATCACGGCTGGTGTCTGGGTTACACGTGCCAAGAAAGAATATCCACGTTTTATGGAATAGTCGCCACTGGAACGAACTATTCTGTGTATTTCACTTCCAACGAGCTTCCCCCCCCCCCCCCCTCCATACCCCCACAATTCCCAACAGCAACTTCCACCTTTAAAGTTAAATGGTACTCCTTTTATGCTTACCTCATGAACTATTGATCACTCCTAAAAGGATGACAGTTGAAAAGCTTATCACTGTTGATCATCATTACATCAGGTTATGTGAATCTTCTGAATGGCCCCCAAGATCACGGCTGGTGTCTGGGTTACACGTGCCAAGAAAGAATATCCACGTTTTATGGAATAGTCGCCACTGGAACGAACTATTCTGTGTATTTCACTTCCAACGAGCCACACAAAATACGGTTGCACTTGCTGAATAGCAACCCCGGGGATGTGATAAGAGTTGGACTGTTTTATCAAAGGCCTCAAAGACAAGATGTGTATAAAGGAGGTACGTGTTTTGGTATAACATAAATATCTGCATTTCACTGCTTCAGGTAAAACCTCTTACAACAAGAATCCTCTTGTATTACAGTTTGATAATTGAAAAATGTGTGCGAAGTTATCCTGTTCAAGGCTCCAAGATAAAAGTGCAGTAGTTCAGTAAAAGGGTGTAAAAAAAGGGTGCATTTTTTTTCCCACCACCGCCCCTTTTTCCAGATCGCGAAAGTCTTATTTTCGCTTTTGCTTGTTGTATTTTTAAGGTTGGTGCAAAATCTTTTAAATCATCTGAAATGATAAAAAAATAACTTAATTGTATGTATTTATGTATGTGATGATTCACCTTAACCTATATGTACAAACCTCAACAAGGGTTACTAAGAAAACATTTTTAGTAACCTCACTACCTTTCGATTAAGTAGAGAATTTTACTTGTCTTTACGTAAATAGTAATTACGAATATTTATAAGCAGGAGTATTCATGAATCCAACAAATGGACAGCTTGGAGGATCAGACTTCACCACTATCCCACTGCCAGAGGGGGCACCTGACGATTACTTTGTGCCACAGCTGACCAGTTACAATGGTGCTAATTATTTTGACCGTAAGCTCAGTACACTGTACGTCATTTTGCGCGGATCAGAACCAGTTGATATACGAGTCATGCCAGTGGTCCAGGTCAGTAGCTTTTCTTTGTTAACTTAGGAGTTTTGATATTTGCGATTATAAACAGACGAGTTTCACAGGGAAAACGGTAATTCGTGGCAGCGGTCGATCAAACGACAGAACTCGTGGGTCGCAGCGGCCATTTTGAAAATGAAATGTCATGGAGCTTTTTACGGAGAATTTTCGCTAAAGAACAATCACTCTCGTGAATGCTTTAATTCTATGAAAGGACTGATCTAGCTGGATCGATAGTTCTGATTGATAGAACAGATCTGTTGCCCCGTGTAAAGAAATCCAAGACAGTCTTGGATTGATTCCACGTCATGGAATCCGGATTCCGTGTACTGGATTCTGGATTCTTTGTCAGTGGAACTTGGATTCGGATTCCAATCGTTAGTGGGACTCAGGATTCCTTGTGCTGTTATTCCGGATTCCAAATCCCAGGATTCCGGATTCATAACAAAAAAATTGCTGGACTCCGGATTCCAAGACGAGATCTGACCGGTCAGTACTGACTAATGGTAAGCGTCCTTAGTGTTTAGGTAGTTCCGGCGGGGAACAGAGCGAAAAGTTGCAGTCGCGTCCACAGAAAAGGGGTACTCACAGTATGAAAATGGGGAAAGTGTTCGTCGGAAAAATTCCGACGCTTTGTGAAAAAATTTGTCTGTAAGGCTCTTTTTAAACTTTTAAAGTGCGTGAGAATAATTTCACTTTATTGAAAATATCTATTCCATATTGACAATCATAGGTTCAGATTGGTGCAAGAGCTGTTTCCATTGATGAATTCTTCAAAGAGAACCTGCTAAATAATCTTGTTGCTTTGCTGGGTATTGATCCATCTCGAGTCAGAATTGTAGACATTGTCAGCGAATCCAGTTCACGAAGAAGGAGAAAGCGATCTTCTGGCGATGTCTTTCTGATAAGCATTGAGATTGGCGATCCTCCCCTGGCTTTGAGCGGCTCTTCGTCTTCCTCATCTAACTCCTCAGGAAACTATACAGGTATGAAAATGAACTACCAAGCCACTGTAACTAAGGTTTCTCTGACACTTCCATCTTTTCTCATCTCATCTACAAAATTCATTCGCAAATCGACGACAATTTTCAGTCGTATATACTCTTATAGATCATAGTAACTACCTCAAAATGTTCAAAACTTATGTGAGCCACGAGCCGCTGGCGAGAGTGGTTTCACCTAAGATGTCACATGTACTCTTATTTCCTTTTGTGTCTGTTCTTACCCAGGAGTTAACAGTACTACCTCTGTTGAGGAGTTAAAAAAGGTTAACGATGATTTAGTGGAAATAGTGCAGACTGGAGAACTCTCGCAGAAGGCAGACTTGGATGTTATATCACTTTCCATATCCGACCCAATCCCCGAACCAGTTGACCCAACCGGTGGTGTCCGGGCAACCAATGAGACTGGTAAGAACGTCTTCCTTTCCAAAATTCGCTACCCTTACATGAACTAATTTAGGCAAAGAGTTTTTGTAACATTTGAAAGATTAAGTGTTATCTGGGCATACTTTGAAGGCTGGAACATGTATCAGATATTATAAAAGCCTCTTAAATTGTCCTGGGAGCGACTCATACACCTAAGCCTGACCATGGTCAAAAGAGAGAAAAATACCAAAGCAAAGAAAAAAGCCACAGTTGCCGTTTTCAGTATGCAAAGTTAAATTCCTCACCAAAAGGTTTCTAATTTATTATACTTTTATAAGGTTTAGTTAACAAAATTCTTAACAGAAAACGCAGAATTGTAGGTGCCCTTATCATCATTATTTTGGGATGGTCAGGAGCATTTTCGCGGAAAATATTTCTAAGGGGAACAGGTAGTTAAAAATAACTATAGTATAGGTCTTGAGTATATACTCACTTGATTGTAAATGAAGTACCAGAATTGGCTCGAAAATGAAGAAGCCCCAGAAACTAGTTAATGAAGCTTGTCTATTTTATGAAAGCGTAAAGTTCATTTTCTCCTTTGTCAATTTTCCCATATAGGTGGTCCGAATATAACAGATAATTCATCACTTCGTTATGACCAGCTGCAATCACAAGAAGAGGCGGAAGCCCCTAGTAATGTATTCAACTTCCTCATTCCTAACAGACTGGAGATTGTAACTGAGCCGAATGGAGGAAACGAGACCGTGCCATTTACCATCCAACCCAAGCTCAAACTCGTGGATATCGATGGCACGTTAGTGACTGTTTTGGGTCATGGTTCTCTAAGCAATTGGACAGTAACAGCGAGCATACTGAACGGTACTGGTGACTCGATGGCAGTACTTGAGGGTAACGTCTCTGTGGAAATAGTAGAAGGATGGGCCAATTTTACTGACTTAAGCATTACCCATAACGGCAGTGACTACAAACTGCTGTTTAACGTCAGTAAACCAGCGGCATCTCACTTCAATGCCACTTCGCTGGCGTTCGAAGTAAAAGAGAGAATAATGTACTTTACTGTCACTGTTCAGCCGGATGACGCCAATGAAACCGTTAGCTTTGGACAACAGCCCAGGATAGAAGTTCGTGATGCCGCCAATGGAGACATTGTGGACAATACAGGATGGAAAGGACGGCAATGGCTCTTCAAAGCGTCCATCGCTAATCCAGATGATAATGAAGGCCACCTTAATGGAACAACAGAGGTGGAATTCACTAAAGGTTTGTTTATTGTTGCATTTTCTTTTTTCCTGGCCAAAAGTAATTAAAGCAAGTTCTTAGAATCACTTAAATTAATAAAGTCTTTGTCTTGATTGAAAGGCGTACTGGTCGTTTGGAAGCCGCAATATCAAATCATTCAGTCTTGCAGAACATAGAGTCCTCTCCGAATATAATCAGTGTTTTTATGGACCACACTTCCAAAAGGAATAAATGGATTTAATACTTGCTCCTTGTCTAACGTGCAATTGCACAATAACTGGATCGAGAAAATCTGGCTAAAATGTGCACTATAGTTACGATGTTTCACTCCAAACATTCTGGTGTTTTTCATTGAACACAATTTGTATGCGAAGTTAAAAATTGAAATAAATCCTTGGATATAATTTAACATAATTTGTTATCATTATTTCGAAGGTGTCGCCCAGTTCACCAATCTGAGCGTGGACATTTCCGGAGAAAACTATGTCTTGGCATTAGAGGCAATTACTGTACCATCTTCTAGGTACTTCTTTAAAGACAACTCCTCAGCATTTAACGTATCAGAGAGATTGCTCTACCTCAAGATTGCTCAACAACCAGGCAACTGTAATGATACAGTTATCTGTGGTACTCAGCCGATAGTGGAGATAAGAAATGTCTTCCCCGACACATTGGTCGAGAACATTGGCTGGAGAGGAAGAACTTGGCAAATCAACGCCAGTATGGTCGGTGTTAGCAACTCTGTGTTAAACGGCACGGCCCTAGTGAACGTACCTACGGCAGGAAGAGTAGAGTTTCAAGACTTGAACTTCTATGATGTTGCCCAGGGATATCAAATACAATTCACCGTCATAACTGAGCCCTCGTCTTCCTATTCTGGGTTGTCAGTGACCTCGGAGACGTTCGACGTGAATGCTCGGTTATTCTATCTGGAAGTAATTACACAACCCGCACAGGCCAACCAGTCAGAGGTATTTGGTGTTGCCCCAGTTGTAGAGGTTCGAGATTTGGGAACACGGATGCGTGCGCGCCCTCTTAAAGGCGACTGGTCAATCGCAGTTTCCCTCAAACCGACGGCTTTGAATGAAACTTTAAATGGAGTAGTAAATGAGACAGTTTCAGACGAGAGGGCAGAGTTCAGTAACTTGTCAATTTCGTACTACGGTATTGGATATGAACTAGTCTTCGAGTCCAACTATGGGCATATGGTGAGTGATCCCTTACATGCCGTGTATTTGTTTAATTATTTCTCTCTTTAAAATTTAAAATCGGAATAACAATGATATTGAAAGGACTATAGATTATTATCATTACTGCAATTTAAAACGTTAACAGAGATTGGCATACATTTCCGACGGATACATAATCAGCTGTGGTTTAATTTTAGTCATTTTTCTTCCTTTAATTCTGGACATGGTAATGTATAATAAGGAGTAATAGCGAAAAAACTAAACCACAGAACATGCTCAAGAAAAAGAAGTTGTAAGGCAATAAAATACACATATTAATCGTACGCGATTAACAAAGCATAATTGATTTAACCTTCTGCTTTTGTTACGTTTGTGAAAATCTGAGACATTGTGAAAAAAAAAAATACGTAGAGGAACTTCCTTGCACAACAGGTTCATTGACAATCACGGAAATTTCAGTGTTTTGTTTATTAAGACCTTGCTCGTAATATTAACAGGTATACTCACAACCCTTTGAAGTCAGATATGTTAACGACTACTCGCCTGAATTTGACCCTTCGCATGGTTTTTACAACGCCACTGTCTCTGAGGACATTTCTATTGGATTTCCGGTCATTACAGTAACGGCTTCAGATCAAGACTCAGGCTCTCAAGGCGATGTATCATACTCAATTGTTGCCGGGAACACCGGAAACAAATTTGCTGTCGATGCACTTTTGGGTAATATATCAACTATTGGCGAACTGGACCGGGAAACAACTGCCGTATTTACGCTAACCGTTCGTGCATCCGACGGCGCGGTGCCAGAAAAAGTACGCTACACAGACGGCAATGTAAAAGTTGTCATTTCGGACGTAAATGATAACGCTCCTTCGTTTGAAACTTCATCCATTCTCGCCACTGTTCAAGAAGACGCCAACATCGGAGACGTTGTTATCACGCTTTTGGCTAACGACCCGGATGCGGGTACAAACAGTGAGCTCCGTTATTCCATAACAAGCGGGAACGAGGCAGGCCTCTTTACTTTGGACAGCATCACAGGCGAGATAAAGGTTAACGCCTCTATTGATTTAGAGCAAGAGTCCAGACCAGACTTCAATCATTCTCTGAACATATTTGCTGAAGACATGGGGACTCCAGAGAGGCTTAATTCAAGTGTAGTGCTTAACATTACCATCACTGCTGTCAATGAATTCACTCCACAGCTAGCCCATGATTCGCTGTTCAACTTTAGTTTTGCTGAGAATGCTGATGTTGGTGATGGAGTTTTTGTGTTCCAAGTGAACGCTACTGACCAGGACTATGGGGAGCAAGGATCGGTGTCTTATTTATTTGATTCAGGTATGAATTATTCTCTTGTATGTTAATCTTGTCACTTTGGTGACCTGAGATTTAAAAAGAGACTTGAAATAAATATAAAACGCTTAATTTACTGTTAATCAACATAACTGACCACTTTAATCACAAGACTACAAAAGAAACTATTGCATTAACGAACAAATTTAGTAAGCGTTCGACGATTGACCCTGAGTTTCCGAGTATATAATGCCCTTAAAGAGGCTACTGTCGCTTTTTCCAAAGGCTTATTTATTAAATTTGTCTTGCTGACGAGGCGTTTCCCTCGAAATAGCAACCAAGGTTCCAAGATTTTGCCTAACGCCACGTCCTTAGATGTTCGAAACTTGATTAGAATTGATCCTGGGTTAACTACAAACATAACATAAGTTGTCAAGGTAACTAACTAGCCCAGATTTGCGCTAAACGTCTCTCTGACAACTCGCCCCAGTGGTTGAGATGGTATTCCACGCTATCCTGAGCTTTTCTAATCTTTGAAATCAACGGTAGTTCACAGGTAACCAGACTGTTTATAATACATATACATATAAATATACATATATTGGTCTCGTATTTGTTTTTAGCCCATGGGTGGACGAAGTTCTAACAGCGCTCGAAACGTCAGCTTACCTTAATCCCCCAACGGTGCCAAGTCTACCTTATCAAATCAGTTGATAAAACCAAATCTTTGTCTGTGTTTCAGGTAATGACGAAGGAAAGTTTACAATAAATTCGACGACAGGTGAACTGAAACTTATTTCCATGCTCGATTACGAAAACACTTCTTCATACACCTTGGTAATCCATGCGCGCGATATCGACAACCAAAACGCAGTCTTCACCGTACACGTAAACGTGTTGGATATGAACGATAACACTCCCACTTTCTCAGAATCTCAATACGACGTAATTGTTGGCGAGGACACAGCCATTGGTTCAAGTGTCTTCACGTTCCTTGCATCAGATCCTGACAGTGGAATGAATGGACTTGTCACTTACACACTGATGTTTAGTAATGCTAGCGAGGTCTGGGTTCTTAACTCGTCTACTGGAGAACTCACTGTAAAAGGTAGGCTATAATTTCAGGGGGAATAATTATTTTTAATTCTATGTTGTTACTTATTGCTCATTTCTTGACAATGAATTATGCCAGCTTTGAACACATAGCAAGGATCTGTTATGTAAAGTTGCCAATGAGTAGTTGCGTTGTAAGCATGAATTTTAAACTAAGGCCCGGTTCAGAGGCCGAACTTTTCATGAGCCGAGCCTAATACATTGAATTAAGTACTTGAAAAGCTCGGCGTCTGAATCAGTTAGGAACGCCTGTTTCAATTTGCATCGGCTCAGCAGTTCTTTTCGCCTAGCCCGGCCGGAAATTTGGCCTTTGCCGGAGCGACTTTGGAACAGCTTTGATTCAGACGCCGAACTTTTCATGTACCGAACCTAATGCATAAATTCTTATAACGTATTTTGTAAGCAGTTTGACCGAAATGAGTCAGCTGCCATTAAGATCGGCGTCTGAATTAATTCAGCCGGTCTAAATAATTTGGGTCGGCCTTAATTCGAATTAGGTTCGGCTCATGAAAAGATCGGAGTCTGAACCCGGCGTAAGTAATTGAGGGACTAAATTTAAAAGCTCTTCGTCGCTTAAGTGTCAGACGACAAGCAATGGTCAACCAAAAAATCCGGAATTTATCTTCAAGGGTGTTTTGAAGGCGTTGAACTTTGCATTCACTTAAAAACGTCGGACGTGTTTTAGCTTCCTTTGCATGCTTAAGTAGCTTAATCTTACGTCGATCGTAATCCTTAATCTAAACTGTCACCTGCTTAGCTTCAAATTTAGTCCTGATAGTGCATGCAGTTCATCGTGTAAGCAAATCCATTTCAGAAAACGTGCGACTTTGCTTACATAAACTGCTTAATCATGGCATGTTAAGAAGAGATTTCGAGTCTTTTGAAGGTTCAGGGATTCGTGTGTCTCTATTTCTCAAATAATGAATGAACTTTCGAGAGGCTGTATAGAATTTTAAAAGGTCTTGTCTCTGAATTCCCATCTTATGTTAGCAAGGGCTTTCTAACCAGGAAAAACAGTTTTCTAGCGGCGACTTTTTACAACATTTAGGTGCCGCTTTTAGTCCGACTTCTTTCACATATCTGCGTATAAACACTGCTTAAGTCAGTCAACTGAATTTATCTAATCATGCTTTCGATCATCGTGTGACCGCAATACTGGTTTTATTTCTCCTTTCCTTAGCCTCACTTGACATGGACAGCCAGCAGGTATCCACGTGGACACACACGTTAATCGTCATGGCACAAGATGCTGGTACGCCAATACTTAACTCCAACGCTACCCTTGTAATTCACATACTTCTCGCAAACGAATTTGCACCTAGTTTCACAGCTGCAGACGTGTCAGTGACGATTAGCGAGGATATAACCCAGGGAAGCGTTGTTTTCGATGCAAATGCGACAGACGCAGACTTTGGGTCAGACGGGGAAATAAGATATAGTATCACAGACGGAAATAATGACTTGAAATTCTATATCAACTCCCTCACTGGTCAGATAACCACTCTTTCAACTCTAGACCGCGAGTCTCAAGACGCATATCACCTCATAGTGGAAGCCACAGACAGCGCCACTTCAGGTCAAAGGAAGACTGGGACAATGACAGTTCATTTGAGCCTAAGTGACGTCAATGACAATACTCCAGCCTTTTCGGCGAATCAGTACGATGGAGTTGTCTATGAAAACGTTACAAACAGCGAAGATATCCTTAGTGTTCATGCCGCAGACCCGGATTTGGGAACGAATGGAAACGTCATCTATTCAATTGAAAGTGGAAACGAACAAGGTTTCTTCAGCATCGAGGCCAATCAAGGAATCATCCGGTCGGCGAAGAGCCTGGATTTAGAGTCCCAAAACCAGCTTGCTGACCACACCTTTACTTTGGTGATACTTGCAAAAGATCAGGGTACCCCAGAATCTCTGAACAGTTCAGTCTCTGTGACTCTTAAGGTTCAAAGTGTTAATGAATTCGCACCAGTTTTGATCCATGCGGATAACCAGGTCAAGGAACTTAGTGAAAACACCAGTGTGTCACAGGTGGTTTTGGACGTAAATGCTACCGATCAGGATTATGGAGCAGATGGTGTTCTTACCTACTCTATCACTGCTGGGAACAGTTTAGGAACTTTTGCTATTGACAACGTTACAGGTTAGTTTTGAAGATTAAAAGCCTTGTCTTTCAACAAATGAGTTGCCAAAATCGATCGAGAAATTGTCTGTCTGGATCAAAAGTAGCACTAAAAAAGAAATTTTATATTTATAATTTGAATCGGCTAAGAATAATACTTTCAAGCATAGTTAGTAGCGAAGGAGACTGGTTAAGAAAACCGGCAAAATCAGAGATGAAAATACATCATTTGTGAGTGAATAAATTAATGCGTCGATTTTTATTCTCAAAATGTTAGGAACGCTTTTGTATGCTGTGCACAGTCAAGTTTGAAAAGGCTAAGGAAAAAATCTCACAAAGAAGTCTAACGAGCTTCATAACTATTGTTGTAAATTAACCTCGATGTTTTACAGCAAACTGTAAGGTTAATGATACAACGCTTTTAAACATCTTATTTTTCCCGAACAGTTTGGCCTAAATTATAGCGGAACCCATTTTAAGCGTGCGCCCTTTGTTAGGTGGCACGATTGAGTCCAGTGAATCGCCGGCCACAACTTCTTTCGCCATGCTAGAAAATGATTTGGTACTGAGGCCAATTTACTTACACCTTCTATTACTTCCTACAACACAAAGAGGTAGGCTCCTTGGTCTTATTCAGTTGAACTCTACAAGATCTTAAGTTTGCGTTACCTCCTTTACAATGAATCTTCGAGAAATGCTTGGGGGGAGGCTGGGTTTTGGTTAGGTATCCAATCCCAAACCAGAAAATGATGGATGTAAAATATCTACAAACAAAGAATTCCACATCATTACTGAAAATGCTATCTTCTCCTTCTTTTGTCAGGTGTTATAACTTTGGCAAAACAGTTAGACTTCGAGACGATCAGTCAGCATAACTTGGTTATCTCCATATCCGACAACAGTGCAAACGCGAATGATAGAAAACACACCACAGCTCACCTGGAAGCACGAGTGATTAACGTTGAAGACAGCCTTCCCTACACAGCAGAAGTGGAAATGTTACAGACGTATATCGCCTCGCCAGCAAATCCGGCAGGCTTAGCTGGTATCACAAGTAGGTCGGCTTTGGAAATACGTCTGTTGTACTCAAACGGAACTACCATGGACATAACTAACGAATCACATCGTTACATATTAGATGACGTTTCCAAATCTAACAGCCTTTTCAGTGTTGTGGTCACTGATGGCTTACCATTCGTGGTTGCTAATAATAACGGCTTGTCCGGATCAGGAAAGCTGCTTGTTCTTGTAACAAACGTGAAGACCATCGAGGTCAATGTCACCGTGATCGGCAGCATTAAACTTTCCATGAAGGCTGTATCGTATCCCGAGATTCCCGGTACCAACGAGGTTGCGGAGCTGAAGCAAGTTATCGCAGGGCATTTTCAGCGGGTTTTGCTCAAAGTACTTCTTAACTTGACAAATGGTGACCAGGTAGACGTTTCCCTTTCATTAAATACTTCATTTGTGTTTACAAATGCCCAGCAAGTTGGGGGAACGTACGAGATTGGACCTGCGCCACGCAATCTTTTTTCAGTCCTCGGACACGGTCTGAGCGGTAGAGTATATCTGCAAGCAGTCTTTGCTCAAAGTCTTTCAGCAAGCGTTAATCTGACACTGTCTTCGACACTCCTTAAACTGGTAACAATAAATCGTTTTGGTTTGAAGAATGTCAACGCTGCCTTAAGTGGTGTAACTGTGGTCACAAAAGCGCAGCCATTTGCTGAATTGCAAATGGAAGACGGGTCCATTCATTTCTTAGACAACTTCACTATGTACAATGGGCTCCTCACTTTCACCTCTAGCGATGCCGCCGTAGCCTCAGTGAACCCAGACTCCGGCGTTGTGACTCTTCTATCAGACAGCAACACTCCCATAACCATCACAGCCAGGGCTGTTTCAAATACAAGCATAACAGCGGTGGTATCTTTCTACTGTAACCTTGAACCGCGTGAAGGTGAAGTTGATATTGGTGACAAAGAAGGGCCAGCAATTCCTCCATTAGCTACAAACGAAGCTTGGACAATGTCTGTCAGAATGAACCCCGGAAAACTTGGCATCTTGGCTGTGCAAGTGGAAATTTGGTTTAACACCAGTGACGTTCAAATGGTCAGCATCAATACTGATCTTCCATACTCATTTGCACACAACACGATACACATTTTTGGGTCAGTAGCCAAAGCTAAGACCCTAACGGAGGACATCGCCGAAGTTGTGTTTACGTCCCTCAAAAGTGGTGTTCCTGAAGTCATCTACCGGTCTTTTAGGACGGTCGACAAGGATTTGACACCTGTACCTTCTAAGGCAGCTTCTTCGTGCTCCAGTGCAGTTTTTGGTGATATCGACTTGGATTGCACATTTGACATTGTTGATGTTGCTTTTATAAGTGCGTACATTGCTTCCTCTAAGGCCCAATTCACCGATACTTTAGGTTCAAAGATGAGTGCTGTATCGACTTCTCAGAAGTCGTCGATGGACGTCAACTGGGACGAAGCAATAGACAGCAAGGACGCCACTTTCTTGTCTTTCATTTATCTTAATAAAGCAAAGTTTGTGGCAAAGCTAACTTACCAGATCCCGAACCACCAAGGAATATCTTTAGACAAATGCGCTTTAGAAATCGCGGTAGAGTTATCAAACAAAGATGGTTCCTTGACTTCATCTGCACAAGCAGAAGTATACTTTCTCTTTTCACACTCGACTGGACCCGTGGCTGAGCAATTCAGCCAGACAGTGTTTACCGCTGGATCGAAAGTGAGCGTTAAGGGAATCTCCTCTGTACAAGGATTGATCAAGGCCAACTATGAAAACGGCAAGTTTCTTGTTGCTGCCAAGAATTCCGAGCTAGAGTCTAGCAACGTCGGTATTTCCATTATACAATCCATACCTTTTAATGGACAGAGGTTTGTCGTTCCTATATTCCTTGCGTCACCTCCCGTGTCTACTGGTGCGGTAGATGTTTCTTGGGTAAGAAGCCAAGCAGCTAGAGACTTCGCACCTCAGCGCAATCTACAGTTTTCTGAGTCCACTACCACATGTAACAACCAACTTCGGTCAGTTGTGGTGATCGTGGTGATTACTTTTGAAGGAGATTATGTCGTGATTGTCAGCGGAAGAGAAGCGCAATTCGAGAGCTATTGTGTAACAGCCTTTTCCGTGAAGTACCCGGATGTAATCATATACAGTTGTAAAGCCAGTAGAGGAAGCATTATCGTTGAAATCAATATGACCGTAGCTGAAACAAAACGTAACTCGACACTTGCTAAAATATGGGAGGATGTGAGCAACGGATTACAACTAAACTTTAATGGTACAACAATTATTACCTTGCCAAAGATGCTGGTTGATGGAAAGGAGTATGGCGATAACGTACCAGTGAAAACACCCGAAGAAAAGAGTCGAATGCCAGTTTTCATTATCATTGTGGCTTGTGTGGTCTCATTTGTTGTTATTTTAATCATTGTCATCGTGGTTTACTGCCTTTACCGACGGAGACAAAATTTGGGCAAGATTAATCCATCACCACCTAGTACTCCTGATGAAGATAGTGAAGTAAAGTACCTTCCGGAAAAAGACACCAGGTATATAGCGATGAGTGAGAGCCCATCCAGGTCTTCCCTACAAGAGCGAGATGGCAGTGCCTTTAGACGCCCAACCCCCATAGCGTTCACAGACCCTGTAGAACCAGCTTTTGAAGAGAAAGAAGAACAACTTTTGGATTCTCAGGTATGCTTTATGTCATGTTCGTTTTGAAGCAAAAACTTGATCAGCTTATACGTAAATGATGGCGCATACACCTTCGGTAGAAGATTAAAGGGGTAGTTTTAAAAAGCCTTAAAAAATACACACAAACGTCATTTTCTTAAAGAACACGAAAATTCCTCCTCTATTTGGTTTACAGTTTAGCGCTGATAAGGGTTTAAGAAATAGCCTCAATTCTGGAAACAAATTAAACAAAGAACTTATTACATGTACATCGCAGCAACTTATTTAGTATAAAAAATTTGATAAAACGGGTACTTTTGAAACTGGGACGGCTTCTCTAACTCGGCATCGTTCGCAAGGAAAACGGAAAAAAACAGCAGGATATTAATCAGCCCTAAGGCCTATCCATATCTTTCCTCTAAGCTATACATGCTGTTACGTACCAACAGGCGAACACAAATCCAACTTAATGAGGAAAAATCCTGCTTTCTTTGGACAGGCCAGTTAAAACTAATTTTACTATTATGTTTTCTTCAGAGACAAACCACGCCTTCCAACGACGGTTCAAATGAGCGACCTAAAGCTATTTTAGCATTCCCGGCTGTCCCAAGTAAGAATCCAAGTCCCAGTCCCTCTCCGCGACCATCTAGTCAAAAGAGCATAGAGTTATCAGAACGTTCAGAATCCCCTGACACGGTGTCTTCGGAGGCTTCTGCTGTTAGCCCTCCTATCTCCCCATCTGGATTATGGCCGACCTGTGACATTCAGGAGTCTCAGCAGGAAGATGAATACGATGCAGATGGCATGGAGGAGAGTATAAGACAAGAAGCTGCTCTGAGGCGAAGAGCATCGTCAATGGATTTTGATACTGAGCAGACATTTGAAGCGATGCCTGGTTTCTTAACACCAGGTAAGATTGTGTGGATAAAAGAAGCATTAAGACTTACTTTAAAGTAAAAGCACGCGCAGCTAGACGCTTGAATTATGTCATTCTTCATGAACGAATTAACAACTTGCTTTGAAATTTGACTGAACTAATTAATGAAGAGAAAACTATTATGCTCTTAATTCTAATCCATCAAATAATTGGAAAAATGTCACTCCTGTGTTTGAATTTCTGTTGTCAGCACTATTGATATCAAATGGTTGTTTGTCTGGCGCTTCGTAAATAGGACGTGAAGTTACGTCTCAAGTTTCCAATACAAAAGGAGAGTTAATAGCTAACTTGAGACGTAACTGTCTCGTCCGACGCTCCAGAAAACAAACATTTGATACCGGCAATGTTAACCGTCTCTGATCGTATTCAAATCCCTTCCAAAACGACTCATAAAGACACAGGAATACAGGTAAATACATCTCATTTTATTAGGTAATACAGCGTTCGGGTTCCCTCTGTGTATTTTTGTTTACTCTAGTGTACCCCATTATTTTGTTGGTTGCCATTAACCTATATCTCAGTCTTGGCAACAATTTTCTGGAGAACGCTTATGAAATTCTCATAAAACACCGGGGAAAATGCGCGATAGACCTATCGACAAGCAACTCATCATTTTGGGTAGAATAGAGCTAGATAATAAGGAACCACACACAAGTGAAATTCCGGATGGATCTTCATGTTGGGATGTGCCGGACGGGCATAGTCCACCGACCTTTGGTTGATCATTCTAGTTGGGTGTGGTAGATGGCAAAGAGAAAGGAAAATACTAGAAATGGAAATCAAATTTCTAACATTTAAAATTTAGACCTCCTTCTAAATAGAAGTTCTTTTCTCTACCTACCAACGTAACGATGTTACTTTTTTCAACAGATTCACAAATAAAGCGACGTAAGATGGAAATCAAAGTCATCCGCCCTAATCCCGAGATTGGTGTTCTTGCGCACATGGCGGGGGTGGTCAAAATCAATCAGTCTGGCACCCTCCAAGAGATGCGCGAAGACATTAACCGAGCGATACCAACATATCTGGGTTCTCTGAAATTTCTGTTTTTGTCACGCAAGTTCAAGATTATTGACCCTCGAACAGAAAGCCAATTAATTGTATCCGGGATCTACAAAAAGACTGTTTATGTGAAGGTTTTCCACGGAGCAGGTAAGATAACTTAACAATACACAGTTTTGTGTCAGTCATCACCAGATGCCCTTACAACTTGACCACAAAGCTAGAACGCCTGAAAGTTATTTTTCTTACAAAATAATTTAATAAAGTTTAATCTTGAAGTCAATATAATTTTCATCATGAGCAATTAAACTGTTAAGTTTTTTCTTCTCTTGCATCGTGAATGACTTGAGAGCCTGACTTATCCAAAACCACACTGAAAACCACACTCAAATGGTCTCAACAGTCTTTCCACTGGATTTACCTAGAGCCGACAGTTACACCAATGAATCACCGATAGACTTCTCTTCTCAACATTATTTTGAGATTGTGAAGATCATCCAGAACCAGAAGCTTCAAAAACTTTGAACATTTATTCTAATTTAAAAACCATTTAGAATACTTTTCCGCCACAACTGAAGAAACTGGTTCTTATGTCTCATATGAAAAAGGATTTACAGGAAATCGAATGGAGGAAAACGTCAACTTTCTTTAATCACTGAGATCATTTCCCGAATTAAAATAGGTACTTTATTTAAGGACTAACTTATTGGGTAGTCCGCACCCCCCTTGCTCCCAATCCCCCGTAGTCAAAATAGATGTAATCCTCTGAAAGTCTCACAAAGATCGTCATAATTTTCATACAGAGCTTGGCTGATGTAGCTCTGAGAAAAGGTCGTCAAGACTCAGCAGTTTTCCAATAGATAGTTTCGTAGATTAGTAGTTGATTATATTTTATCAGGGCGACCCACTGATAAAAATAACAACTACATTTCCCCTGTTGTGATTACACAAATTTATTTTACCTCAATTTCCATCCTGACAGAAAACTGTGAGTATTTTTGCTTGTGCGGCAAAGTGGCGTTTACGTGGTGTCCAAAATGCAACGTTCAAGGGTACTGTGGGGACGACTGTCGCCAAAAAGATGAGAGGGAGCATGGCAAGTTATGCAGCAGCAACAAAGAAAAGGCCTTACAACATGCCCGTATGAGGCGAATATCCAGAACGGACAAGAAATGAACCGTCTGCGGCAACAAAATTTCTTAATATACGCAAGATTTTGTCTACGCTGACGATGCTGCTTAAATAGCATTTTTTCACAGATGAGCTAAAGCAGGGTCGAAGACGGACACGTGTGTGTGTGTAATAATATACTTCTAACTACTTTTGTAGAAGAGACACATGTCTGCTGGTCAGAGAAATTTTAGTCAAGGGTGTTCATATATTTCACAGTTTACTTTCAGATTGCTTCTTAATATACAGTGTAAGCATCCAGAGTATGGATCGAAACGAGTGCAGCGCTTACAATGCATTGGTGTAAGCCACAACCTTAGGGGGAACAATAAAAACAAACGCCTCCTTATTGTGATTCCGATAGATTGTGTCTTTTTGCAACCCACAGGAATGTGTATCATGGAAATTTAAGTTTTCTTGTCAGCTGCTTTATGACCAGGGCGCATAATTAAAAAGAAAAAGAAAAAAAAGACAAATGTACTTTCAATACCTCTATATCATACGCTTTGATAAAAGTAGACATGACGTCATCACGAACATATTTTAAGTAAATATTCCAGAACGAGTATTTTAACATTTTTAGTACATAAGCTGCATTTTTAGATAAATGCAGAAGCAGTAAATCAAGAAGAGCAACCCTTGTGAAAAAAGTTATTGTTGTTATTTAAACAAGTGTGTAACTTGTATTTATTTTCCATTATCTGTCCCTGATGGTCAGCTTTTTCACCTGTATATACTTAAGGGGCATGTTTGTATTAAAATCGTTTTGAAGACGACGCCGTTTGCAGATATTATGACCCAGTGCGTTAAAAGAGAGACTCTGCATGATGCCCTGTTACGAAGGGTTGGGGGAGCAAGGCGTGTTTTAAACTACGCTTATGCTTCGTTAACACGGCGCTGAACGAACTTTCGACCGGTTGAAAATTCGTGCGTTTAGCAACCCTGTTCCCAACGCTTTTTCCCTTCCATTTTCAAAGGAAAAAAGTCCTGGGGACGGGGTTGGTGTGTTTCGGTGTTCCGTTAACACGAAGCACTTTAACCGTACGATTATAAAGTTCCGTGCGAACAGAACGAAAATATGTGAACAAAGTGGACGGTCAAATTTTTTAGCCGATCGAAAATTCGTCCGGTGCCATATGAACGCATCCTTAGAATCATGATTTGTCGCGGGGATTTCATTATCCAAATACGCCTGCGCACCCGTAAGCTTAGAACGAAGTTGTTAAGTGTTTCTCCTCGTGTGTGATCAATTCCTGGTCCCCTTGAAGCCTCTATAAAATTTGCTCCCACCCTTTTTTCACTGAAAACGTTCACAATCTTAACTCAGAAGGAGAACGGGCAAGAACGCCAGAACCTAAGTAGAAGTATCAGTATAAATAACAGTTTACGTAGTGCGTGTGATAATACAACACAATATTTTATTTTTACAAGGCTTACAGTCACCCTCTGAAAATAAATTGTGGTTATGGAGAACAGTAAAATAGAAACGAGAGCACAGCAGGAAAGCCTTGACTTACAAATAGTCAAAAGTTTTTAAGGATTTTTAATTGACCATTGACAAAATCGCCTAAAATATGCTCAAAACTGACTTTTCAGAAAGAGGAAATTTCGCCTTGACCTGTTATTGTTTTAAGGTCTGTGCTTGACCAATTCGCGCCCATTTTCGCCTTGATTTCCAGGCCCGTACTAGGCTGTTTATATATCAGGTGGGAATGTTTTGCCCAGAAGTGGAAGAACAAACTCGTTTGCAACATTCGCTGTCCTTGTCAGTTCAGTTTCTCTAATAATGCTTCCAATGGCTAAGGAATAGAAATACTTTGCATTTGAGCTCTCTTGAAGAAGCTTTTAAGAGTACGAAGATAAAGGCGAGCCTTGAACTTGAGTCAACAAGCTTGATAAGATTAACAGAGGTAAATTAAGGCTAGGTCTACGGTAAAAGCCGGTGCACCTTTATTCAGGCCAAGATTTTTACTAGTACAGCATTTCTTTTAACCCTTTAAACCTTAAGATCAAAATTTGAATTCTCATTTTTTGCCCCTATTGATTTCCTACAGAAGTAGAAGGGAGAAGTTGATATAATATCAAGTAAATTCATCTTGTGTGATCATGTCCGTAATTCTCATGACCACTCTGTTTTACAGAGCATTGATATTACAAGGAGAAATTTGATGCTGATCACTCTTAGGGCTTAAAGGGTTAAAGTCTTCTTCCGAACCAATCTATTAGAAGTATGGTAATTATCTCTCTCCTCCACAGAGGGTCTCAATGATGCTAACCGTTAGCCGTAAAACAAACGAAGAGTTTAGTCGTTAGGCGTAAAGGAATTGAAATTTTTAACCGTTGGTCGTAAAAATGTTAACCTTTTTTTTTCTTTTCTTCCAGATCCTTGAGCTAGTCATTCACCTGGTACAAAACCGCCATGCTGTAGAGCAATGCCAGATGCATTGGGACCGAAGGCAATCAAAATAAATTACATACGTACCATTTGAATGATGGAAGACTTTAGTTTGTCTTGTCCCAATGCATCCTTTGCTATGATCAGTATGGTGGTTTTGAACCACTTAAATGACTAGCTGCAAAGAGCCTATACTACTTGTTACCACTTTACGTATCTTGTCTTGTAGACTGCAAAACAGTCCGTATTTTTGCGTATTCAAGTACACGCGAGCAGTCAAACAAAATGTCCAAAATGCAACGTTCAAGGGTACTGTGGGGACGACTGTCGCCAAAAAGATGAGAGGGAGCATGGCAAGTTATGCAGCAGCAACAAAGAAAAGGCCTTACAACATGCCCGTATGAGGCGAATATCCAGAGCGGACAAGAAATGAACCGTCTGCGGCAACACAATTTCTTGATATACACAGATTTTGTCTACGCTGACGATGCTGCTTAAATAGCATTTTTTCACAGATGAGCTAAAGCAAGGTCGAAGACGGACACGTGTGTGTGTGTAATAATATACTTTTAACTACTTTGGTAGAAGAGACATATGTCTGCTGGTCAGAGAAATTTTAGTCAAGGGTGTTCCTATATTTCACAGTTTACTTTCAGATTGCTTCTTAATATACAGTGTAAGCATCCAGAGTATGGATCGAAACGAGTGCAGCGCTTACAATGCATTGGTGTAACCCACAACCTTAGGGGGAACAATAAAAACAAACGCCTCCTTATTGTGATTCCGATAGGCTGTGTCTTTTTGCAACCCACAGGAATGTGTATCATGGAAATTTAAGTTTTCTTGTCAGTTGCTTTATGACCAGGGCGCATAATTAAAAAGAAAAAGAAAAAAAACACAAATGTACTTTCAATACCTCTATATCATACGCTTTGATAAAAGTAGACATGACGTCATCACGAACATATTTTAAGTAAATATTCCAGAACGAGTATTTTCTTTTTTTTTAGTACATAAGCTGCATTTTTAGATAAATGCAGAAGCAGTAAGTCAAGAAGAGCTATCCTTGTGAAAAAAGTTATTGTTGTTATTTAAACAAGTGTGTAACTTGTATTTATTTTCGATTATCTGTTCCTGATGGTCAGCTTTTTCACCTGTATATACTTAAGGGGCATGTTTGTATTAAAATCGTTTTGAAGACGACGCCGTTTGCAGTTATTTTGACCCAGTGGGTTAAAAGAGAGACTCTGCATGATGCCCTGTTATGAAGGGTTGGGGGAGCAAGGCGTGTTTTAAACTACGCTTATGCTTCGTTAACACGGCGCTGAACGAACTTTCGACCGGTTGAAAATTCGTGCGTTTAGCAACCCTGTTCNTTCTTTTTTTTTAGTACATAAGCTGCATTTTTAGATAAATGCAGAAGCAGTAAGTCAAGAAGAGCTATCCTTGTGAAAAAAGTTATTGTTGTTATTTAAACAAGTGTGTAACTTGTATTTATTTTCGATTATCTGTTCCTGATGGTCAGCTTTTTCACCTGTATATACTTAAGGGGCATGTTTGTATTAAAATCGTTTTGAAGACGACGCCGTTTGCAGTTATTTTGACCCAGTGGGTTAAAAGAGAGACTCTGCATGATGCCCTGTTACGAAGGGTTGGGGGAGCAAGGCGTGTTTTAAACTACGCTTATGCTTCGTTAACACGGCGCTGAACGAACTTTCGACCGGTTGAAAATTCGTGCGTTTAGCAACCCTGTTCTCAACGCTGTTTCCCTTCCATTTTCTAAGGAAAAAAGTCCTGGGGACGGGGTTGGTGCGTTTCGGTGTTCCGTCCACACGAAGCACTTTAACCGTACGATTATAAAGTTCCGTGCGAAAAGAACGAAAATATTGAACGGTTCCGTGTGAACAAAGTGGACGGTCAAATTTTTTAGCCGATCGAAAATTCGTCCGGTGCCTTATGAACGCATCCTTAGAGTCATGATTTGTCGCGCGGATTTCATTATCCAAATGCGCCTGCGCACCCGTAAGCTTAGAACGAAGTTGTTACGTTTTTCTCCTCGTGTGTGATCAATCCGTGGCCCCCTTGAAGCCTCCATAAAATTTGCTCCCACCTTTTTTCTTTAAAAACGTTCACAATCTTACCTCAGAAAGAGAACAGGCAAGAACGCCAGAACCTAAGTAGAAGTATCAGTATAAATAACAGTTTACGTAGTGCGTGCGATAATACAACACAATATTTTCTTTTTACAAGGCTTACAGTCACCCTCTGAAAATAAATTGTGGTTATGGAGAACGGTAAAATAGAAACGAGAGCACAGCAGGAAAGACTTGACTTACAAATAGTCAAAAGTTTTTAAGGATTTTTAATTGACCATTGACCAAATCGCCTGAAATATGCTCAAAACTGACATTTGAGAAAGAGGAAATTTCGCCTTGACCTGTCATAGTTTTAAGGTCTGTGCTTGACAAATGCGCGCCCATTTTCGCCTTGATTTCCAGGCCCGCACTCGGCTGTTTATATATCAGGTGGGAATGTTTTGCCCGGAAGTGGAAGAACAAACTCGTTTGCAACATTCGCAGTCTTGTCAGTTAAGTTTCTCTAATAATGCTTCCAATGGCTAAGGAATAGAAGTACTTTGCATTTGAGTTCTCTTGAAGAAGCTTTTAAGAGTACGAAGATAAAGGCGAGCCTCGAAGTTGAGTCAACAAGCTTGACAAGATTAACAGAGGTAAATTAAGGCTAGTTCTACGGTAAAATCCGGTGCAACTTTATTCAGGCCAATATTTTTACTAGTACAGCATTTCTTTTAACCCTTTAAACCTTAAGATCAAAATTTGAATTCTCATTTTTTGCCCCCATTGATTTCCTACAGAAGTAGAAGGGAGAAGTTGATATAATATCAAGTAAATTCATCTTGTGTGATCATGTCCGTAATTCTCATGACCATTCTGTTTTACAGAGCATTGATATTACAAGGAGAAATTTGATGCTGATCACTCTTAGGGCTTAAAGGGTTAAAGTCTTCTTCAGAACCAGTCTATTAGAAGTATCGTAATTATCTCTCTCCTCCACAGAGGGTCTCAATGATGCTAACCGTTAGCCGTAAAACAAACGAAGAGTTTAGTCGTTAAGCGTAAAGGAATTGAAATTTTTAACCGTTGGTCGTAAAAATGTTAACCTTTTTTTTTCTTTTCTTCCA